ATAATAATAATAATAATAATAATAATAATAGTGTGGTAGATGCTTTCATATTGAATCCAACCACTTATGTATTACAATGAAAAAAACGCTGAACACAGAGAAGTACTAATTCCCAAGACCCATCTTTACCTAAATAACATCAGGAAGGAGAGCCTTTCTTACAATAGCTGAAGGTTAAAAAAGTCATGCTTTTATAGAACCTGAAGGTTCATTAACACATTTATCAGGGCCTGCTACTGAGGACCTTATCCTGAGCCAGAAGTATCCCATTTAAGCCCACACATCATATTTCTCAAAGGTTCATTTTAATATTATATTCACATCTGAGACTAAGCTTATCATAAAGCATCTTCTATTGAGGTTTCCTAACTAAACTTTCATGTACATTTCTCATCACTACAAGTTCTGCCAATCTCATACTTCTTGGTGTAATCATTCTAACAGCATTTGATGATGAGTATAAATTACGGAAAATCTTCATTATGTAATAACCTCCATCCTCCCACCAGTTTCACTTTCTTAGGTCCAAATATTCTCTTCAGCACTTATTCTTATAACCTCAATCTGTTTTGTTAGTTTTGAACATGAAACTAAAAAGGAAACCATGAGGAAGAATGGGATCAGGTGGGAAACATATCACACAGAAGGATAAAAGAAAATAGGAAGGGACTGAAGAAGGCAACTTTAGAAAGACAAGGAGAGGCTTGCTTGATAGATGGCTCACATAAATTGCAAATGCCTGACGTGGGAGGATTCGACACTCCACTTTCATAGTTCCTTACTATATACATGAAGTAAAATGATACTGATCTCACATAGCTTTACATTAGATTTTAGAAAGTACTGTTTGAATAGCGAGGAAGTAACACAACTGAGATATTATTGCACACCATTTTCTTACTGCAGGCCATCAGATCCCGTTAAGTGTAAAGTGCAGTGAAATAACTGAAGAATATTACTGACGATTACTGTGTTTTTGGACTACATCCATCATTGGGTATTATACAAAATATAACGTTTTGTATATAGATTTGGTTTCTGAAACACTGTGTTCCTTAGAATATCGGGGTATGGACAAAGGCTGAAAACTCAATTATCTGAATTGTTACACACCACTGTTAAAACCTTATACAACTGAAGAACACAACTCTTTGTTCCATTGTATGCTCCATTTTCACATCTTAACAGAGTAGACAACAGACAGTGATCTAACGAGCTACTGCTCAATGAATATTGAACTCAGGTTATCCAAACTTTCCATGTGACCTCAGTCTTGTTGCATCACCTAACATTCCAAGTAACGGCATTGCCAGATCACCCAGCACAAAATTAAAATGATTATCAAAACTTATTTGCCTGGCCCTGTATATAAATTAAATGGACCGTCAAATCATTGCATGGTATAAAAAGGATTTAGTTTTTGATCTGTTACTTTAAAAAGCATTGTAGTAACGGGTAGAATGATCAGAACAAATGTTAACAAACAGTGGATATTCACCTCACTAAATATAATCCTATGGATAGTACATATATCAAGTGGGTTAAGAAATCTTATACAATTTCTCACTAATGCCTTTGATGACCAGGTACATATTAGAAGGAACAGACTCTGAATGTCAGTATTTTCCTCCTGGCAGTTGCACTGCCTTTGTGACTGATAGAAGTCACTACCATATCAATGCCCTTCATCCCCATGGCAGTGAGGACTGCTCCTGTCCTGTCAGTAATGTGCCACCAATCATGAAAACTGGAGGAAAGTAATTATTTCTTTTCTCCGCCCAATGTGATCTCCAATATTTTGCCAGGAACCAGCTGTGCACAGTGTGTCCTTTATGTCACAGCATTTCTTAGTGTCTACTCACTACTAGATTTCACCACTGGAAAGTCGGACAGAATGGTTCCTTCAGTAGGCAACCATCTGGTTGCATTTGCACATGCCCTCACTTCCAGACCGGGATCTATAACTATTCCACAGGTTCAGGAGTCCTCCCTATGCAAGTGCCCTATTCCTTACATCCAATACATTCCTGTTAATCACCTCATGAGACACTGCACTGAGTTACTTCAAGCTACATAAAAACACATACCGGCAAGGCTGAAGCAGTGCTGTTGATACAGATCTTCGTATGTCCGTTACAATAATCGAAGCAGGGTACACATTGACCATTGTTAGTGGGATCTCCTACAAAGAGTGGCAGACACTTTTCACACTGAGGACCCTGAAATTGTAAAACAATTTTTCAACTCTTAATCAGAGTCCAAAATATAGTGTTTCTTTCATATACACCTTCATATGTTCTCTAATACAGTACTGAATGTAGTGCATAATAGTTATAACTCTTCAATACGTACCAAAATACAATAAAATTTTAGGAAAAAGAGAAGAAACTATCCAATGTACAACCTTTATGTTTTGGATATAAACTGAGGGTTTTTAAAGGTGAATTCAACATATACTTTTATGTGTATGATTAATATACCCAATGCTAAAAATTGGATGATTACTGACAAACATACGTATCTGATTAAAAGACAGTGAAGGAATTAGTTAGCATAACTGTACAGTATGTCAATCTGCATTAGTCTCTCACTTGTATATTAAATTCTGCATAAAGAGCTGCAGTGAAAGGACTCTAACCTTGGTGTTGTTGTGACATTCCAAACACTGATCGAGTTTGTCTGGACCGGCACAGTCTGCGTGGTTGTTACACTGGCATGGGATGCTACAGTTCGCTCCCACATAACTAAAGTCACAGCGACAAACATCAGGCTCCACACAAACACCACGCACACAGCCTTGTGTGCACACTGGCACACATGCAGACCTACAACAAGGCACAATATTACTTTCCTTGCAACATAAACACTACTCTTTTCCAGCAGTGTTCTATAGGACCACAGGATTCCCACATGTTATGTGAAAATAATCCTCAAACCCCTTCAGACCTTCTTCAACCCTTTGACTATGAAGTCCCCCTTAGCACTACCTGTTAAAATCATCATGACTGCTTGAGAATAAATTCTGCTGCACAAGAAAACCCATAATTCTTCCACAGACAGCCTTCAAATAATCAGAGATGTAGATACAGCGAAAGCCTGTTTTCTCCAAATAGTGGTACATAATTAATACCACCTACTGATAGAATGCTCTACGAAGCAATTAACATCATGCAAATATCTTTGGCTGTGACAGTTTTAGTGTAAATCCACAGGAAAATGGTGAAAAATACTGATTCACCTTTTCCTATGGATCTAAATATCTGTCTCTCTACCAGATTCTCAAAAATGATTTGATGCCCACTTAAGAGACTTTTCATATGAAAGGAAAGAAAAATGGAATATTTTTCTTACTTTTCAGGCTTATAGCCTTGTCCACAAACACACTTGAATCCCTCAGGAAGATCTACACACTGCTCTGACTTGTTGTCACATGTATGATGACTGTTCACACATTCGTTTTCTGGTGGACACTGCATATAATGCCATGAGAACGTGGGAAAAATTCCATCTGGATCTCTACGGCTTGCAGCATTCCAACTTGAGTTATTTATAGACGTATTACCTGGAAAAATAATGTGGGATGGGCTGTCAAATGACTGAATTCACAATTATTTCACTAGCCTTAAAAGTCTGAAGTTACATCTGCATACTATCCCATATTAAAAAGTAACAGATAATATATAAAAGTGGAATATGTACTCTAATGGAGTATATCTGTTTTCCAGTTACATTCATTGCAATTCTACCTAAGCACAGCTCTGCTTGCTACCTGCTTCACTCTAGTTTCTTGCTTGGCCTACTGTTTGACCCTGAAGATGGAGTCAACATATTCCTCCAAAATGTTGGCCGACTTCCAGCAGACTACACAGCATTATATTCCAGAGGACAGAACTCATGACACATTACTGTGTTATTCACTTTCTAGAGACTCAGATTTTTCCAGCAAGGGAAGTTTAATATTCAATTATATTAACTTGGAATGGGAGGCAACAGACAGTCTGACAGACCTGCAGAAGACATCTCTTGGAGATACAGAACATCGCATGTTGAGTGTGCTGGGCCATCAGAGGGGCTGTCAAGGGAACCTTCTGTGCACACTCCTTGCCCTGTTCCATTTCCCACATCCAGAGAGCACCAACTAGTAAACAAACCACAGGGAATAAACAAAAGTTCTACAGCCAACAGTTACTTCATTTTGTTTGAACATCATTTACATGTCAGCAAACAGCAGTCATTTATGCATTGACATAAACAGAATCTGCTGATAAAAAAACACCATGTTAACAAGCATGCAATTAATTTCTGTTAATCCCTGATTTGCGATCCTTCACATGTGAGGATTCATTACGTTTGTGTTGAACCATGCTGAGTCTCTTTATTCTCCTCCTAACAGACATTCCAATCACAACCCCCTGAAGTGTGCACGGGCCCTGACTAGACAACACATCATTACATTCTCAGTCCATAAGTTGAGGGTTTTATCTCTAGCCTTGTATTTGGTTGGAAGCGGAATAAGGAAGCCATTTTATTTTACATTACTTATCTGTATTATGGAAATGCATTCCATTAATATTAAATTACTTTCATATGGTTAATGTGAAGGGACTGAAAAACTGAAGTCAGGATACATGNCACTCCACTGGTGCTCTGCAACCTGCCCACAGCAAGCGAGACAAGGGTATCGCTGCCATCCTACTACAAGCTATGTAGTAAAGCAGCAAAATGTAGCATGTTCTTTACCTACCCACAATGAGCATGTTGAAGACAGGTTGAGCACTGCTTATAGGCAGAACAGCGTTCAGGGCAACGTTCAACATTGCCTCCATGCAGCACCAAGCCACAAACTCCACCAGTACAGTAAAGAGGCTTATAGCTTGGTGATATACACTGAAAATAACAAATCAAGAGTGATGTTATTTGGAAACAGTCTGCAGTATGCATTATATCCATCATATGCATGAACAATCATCACTCTATAAATTTAAGTTTCAAATTTAACAGCCAGACACATTTTGGCTACTTTAATTCAGTCTTCAGTAATATCTAGCATGTTCCACAGCACGCTGTGCTCTTTTCTTTCAGATTGCAGAAGTTTCATGTTTTTTATTTTATCTTTTATTGACTTTTTAAATTCAGTGTTCTAAGTCAGTTTTGTCTTGTCAGAAAGATACATGATAACAGTTTCACATAAGTATCTTGAACTATGTACAGAAACCACGCAGTGGAAAAGTCTGTCATTACTCTCTTAAGAGTCTAGAATAAAATGAAGGGGCAGGAACAAGTGGACAAACCTCTCCAAGCTGAATGGACCAATGACACTCATGCCAGCCACCCTCAGCTCCTGGAGCCTGCAGGCAGCTCTCACAATCCAGTTTCATATTGCAGCGATCTGGACAAACCTGTGCTGACTTGATCTCTATGCTTGATCGTCCAGAGATCTCACTGCTGACGCAGTTCCAGTCATAGACTGGCTCACCAGTCACTGTCTTTGAAAACTCAGCTGTAAACATAATTTTATAACAGTGCAGCTACTTTTCCCAGTGCTTTACCTATACTGATCAACCAAGTCAACCACTAGAATAACAGAAATAAATCAGTGCTAAGTGTCTAGTTCATGTTTTTCATCAGTACACAGCTTGTCGCATATGTATCTCACAGATGGCATAAAGTGTTAACAATCAATACATTAGGATGTGACAACTTCAAATATGAATGCTGACAGATTTTACAAATGTACAGTTCTATCAGCGTTCAAAATATTATAAAGAGGTATGTGCATTCTTTGTCAACTGATAAACCTACCAACACATTTGCCCATCCAATCATTCATGTAATGGAAACACAAGATTTGACACTGTTAACATATAAGCCTACCAACCAACCCAAATATCAGTCAATTTAATCTAAAAGTCATTAACAAAACCTACTTCATTACGAATCAAATTAAGACTATCCACCCTTTTTTCTGTCTTCAATGAACAGACATAACTTTTTATTTTTAAATTTTTAGTGTAACATAACATGACACAAAATGCACAGTATATGTAAATGAAATAGCCAAGGAAGAGACAAAATGTTCTGAACTAAGGTACAAACAAGGGCCGTGCCATAGCTCAAGTGGTTAGTTGCTGGCTTCCCATCGCTTCCTTGTCCTGTAACATTATAGTGGATTTATATGAACATTTATCAGTGTTGCTCAAGCCAAATTTCAGCACAAAATAAAAGTACAGTACTTCTCCATTCAGATATTCTACAGATCCAGAGATATGGACTACATTTTAAACTTGCAACAAATTCTGCCAGATTAAACTAGCTGTGTGAGAGAAAAACGTAGATCTTATACCTGAAAAAAAAATGTGCAACTTAATATATTGTGGCATGTCTGCTGAAAGTCAGGATTACTAAGCCAGCAGACAGCTGTGCTAGGCAATGGCTCTGCAAAAATTGGCCATTGCTATGCAATGGCTCAGTAATGATCAAGTGGTCACCCCAACAGACATGAAAGCAACAACAGAAGAGCTGTTGGAAGTGGTGTTTTCTATGCGGTCTATGCAGGCACTATATAACGAGGAGACATCTGCATACAGTCTTGAGTATCGCACATGAGGCTGATATAAATACCTCCACCACAGCCCTGCAAGTCGTAGGAGGCAACAAAAAGGGAACCCAGCACCTGGGGGTATAACTGGGTCACCTTGTTCCTGGGGTACATAAATACAGGGACCTGGCCCTCCAAGCTGGGGGTGTCTGGAATCTGTGACAGAAAAATATGTCATGAGTCTCGTAGGACTTGGACCCAAGAATTACTGTGCTGACAAGGACCAGCAGCAACTGTAAACAACAGACCCATCCTCTCATCAGAGTTGGTGCCCCACATCAACAAATGCACAACTGTCTGGCAGGAATAAAAATCTGGTCGTGGGCCCCAGATGTGTGCTTGACATTAAGACAGACTGGCTGACCATCAGTCATTATCATATCTTTAACTTTGACTTCTGATAGTCCTGAGTAGCAAATATCTGGTCTTGGACTCAAGATAGGGTTTGACACCAAGACAGACTGGCCGACTGACCGTTGGTCATAACATAACTTTGATTTTGACTTTGACCTGACAGTCCTGAGATGGCCAGCAGCCTGCGAGGATGTGAGCCTGGGAGCAGAGAAACGTCCACTGTTGGGAGACATTACCGTTCAGGGCAGCGAAGACTGTGATTGAGAACACTAGTCTTTGTGAGTTAGTGATTTGTAAAGTGTATTAATGAGTTATGAGTTAAAGTGTCCAATAAATCCACTTAGCAATCCAAACCCTGTCTATCACATGACAATATGAAGTATGGGAGAGAGACAGAGGAAGAGAAATAATCCCTGATCTCCTTATCTGACTAATGAATGACCTGATAAACATCAACACGAATATATATGGCATAATGGTAGTAAGCGTACCATAAACCATAAAATGAAGACAGAAACTTACGACTGAGGAGAACCTGACGTGTCCACACACAAGATCCAAGACTCACACACTTGTCACAGTCTGATGCAGGACACTGCCTCTCAGCACACTGACTCACATCTGACACAGTTCTCTGGCGAACACTGCACTTGTTCTCACGTTCACACTCACTTTCCTCAGGGATGCAGCGGCCTCTTGCACAATTTGAGCACCATTTGCACACCTGCTCAAAAGATTACAGAGATACAAAAACCTGAAATGTCTGCATTCCTTTATATGTTTTTTTTTTATCAGAGAATGGATTACTTTCAGAGCATCTTTTTAATCTGACTGATGTTTCAACTGTAGCTTAGAAGTCACTCTGACCTAACAACTCTACAGTAACTTGCATATTTCCACTGCATGATGTTATCATGACAACAGATTTTACTCCTATGTTATCCATTGTGTAACTGGATGACATCTCAAAATACAATGGAATTTAACAAAACTGCCTTGAAGTGCAACGGTAACTTCTTGCAAAATAAAGACCTTTATTATGAAGATGGTCTATCCCTCTGCACCACTTCACCACACCATATTCAGCTGGACTCAAAATGTAACCCTCTCACTGAGTAATGATGCTGCACGAGACTGAATTCTATTTTGAGTCTGAATCCATACAAATGAAAATTTTTGCATTAAACTGGCATAATCTGGTTTCTGCTGTTTCCACATTCATATGTTTGCAGTCTTTTCTTGTTGCTTCACAGCTGCTTCTTTATTCTGCATGGTTAATCACCAGTCTTAAAATATGAACCATAACTGTGGCACCTGATACTTTCTGAAACACTATTCCCTTTCACTCTACTGCTTTTGACATGGCTGCCCTTTTTATTTTGAGCAACACTGCCACTAGCACAGCATTTCCTGACATTGTAAATCAGCAAATTATCCCTTTTGTTTCATAACTTTTGTGGCACTTCAGGCAACCTCATGGTTTCTGACCTTGAAACATAAGTCTCTCTGTCTCTCTTGCTTTCCCACTTGCTACTTTCACATAGTAGGATAATGTGAACTAGTGATCCATGATGTAATACATGATGTGAACACAAAATGCTTAAAACTGATTAAAAACATCTTATATATATCTTTCAAATTTATGACAACCTGAAGATTTGTAGCCCTTAGGGGTAAGGGCAATATCATCTTCTGTTTGGTCAAACACAATTCCAGTTCCTTTTGACATGACCCTGATGTGTAAATCTAAAGTAGGAAAAATTTTTTGGAAGTTCGAGAATGAAAATTAACGTTCTAATTAAGATTGAGAAGATAGATTGTCTAATTAAGTGAAGACAAGGCATACAATGTACTAGTTTGACGTGAATTGAGTAGCACCTGAAGATGGCATTTTTATGCCGAAACATGTAGTGAGAGTGAGAGAAGAAGATAGATAAGTGTACGCACTGCAAGACGGAATAAACAAATCATGAAGATTGAGAATGTTTATCTCAATTCACTCTCAGAAATGTATGACTCGCACATGCCTAATGCATATAATGATGTATTAATTTTAAAAACCTGCCTCTCTAACAAAAGTGGAGGTGAAATTATCTGATAAGATTTTCAGTTGTGGCCGTACTTGTTAACTGTATGTGAAAAATTATTACAGTAACACCATCAGATATAAACTGCCTGAGAAACCAACAAGGCCAAACTGCACAACTCTAATGGTGAGGAAAATATTACCTGCGCTTCATTAATATGACTGGGCCATTTTGCCAAACATTCTGTACATGTTGTGTATTGGGCACAGTTCCTTTTTGACAACCACTTGGCAGTGCAGACCACCCCATTATTTACACTAACTTGTGTAGCATTGTGGTCACGAGGCTCACAACTGGAAAGAAACAATACACAAACAAATCTATACTAAACTTATCATATATACATATAAAACTGAACTGGAAAAGGAACTAGGTTAGTGTAGAAATATGAAATGAAATTTATGGCGAAATAGAAGGTGAGAAATACGCTACATAAACTCTGTCACATGCACCTACATGCCAAAAAACTACTACCCGCTGCATAGCTACTTCTTTGTATGACTCATGAGGTAGTAACATATCAAATTATGCACCCTTTTACATAATAAATTGTATCAACAACTTTTGGTTGTGAGAGAGCTGCCTCTGATTGTCTTAGGATCTTTATGGTTCTCGCTTCAAAGCATTAATTTTCTTAGGATTGGAACAAGGGTTCTAAATCTGCCAGAACTAAGGGGGTGGTGCTTATATATTATTTTGGCAGTAACAGTTTATTTTCATGGAGCTGGAGAATTTAAACCTCCTGTCTCTACGTGCTTGGTGGCCATACTTAAACCTTGGTGGTAACAGTATTAGGTAACACTCGGCCAACCACACTGTGCACTGTGCCAATTCCAAAAGGGATCAGAAGCCAAGAACAGTTTAACGCAAGTCGCTGTTGCTGTTAAAAATTGCTGAAGGTTTGCAGTCTAGAGGACACAGAAAACAGTGGAATGGTTACACCCTGTGCAGCACATTCAACTGTCCACTCAAACTCTTTAGGATATGGAAAATGGAAAACATACATGTATGATAATATTCCATACCTCACTTCTGATGTGAACATACCAGTAAGTTCATACTCATCAAGGGATCAACTGAAGCTTCATAAATATTTTTACTAATGTCTAATTATATACTGAATGGCTCTTACAATATTCAAACATCTACCTGACTAGGATAACCAGAAAAGTATAAAAACCTCAGTGAAGACACTCTGTCTCTAGGCGAAATATGAGATCTCTGATATACGAAGAAGTACTAAGCACTACGTGAGCTTAATAAAAGTATTATGTTTCCATAAAAAATCTGTGTAGAACACCTGCAGTAGTATGATACACTTTGTACAGAAAATAACTATCATCTTGAACATCTGTTCACCTCTCTTCATTAATCCTCATGTTGGAGTAACAGAGTGTAATGTTATCTCCATGCTCTGTCATAATGTCACAGTGATTACACCCGAGGAACTTGCGACACTTATTCTTGCCCTTCCACAGCCGGCACAAATCCTTTGGCAATATAATCCGTGTCACATGGCTCTGAATCCCACCATCGAAACCACCAATCACAAAAGCAGCTCCTGTCTCCACATCCAGCGTCATAGCATGAGCATATGTTGGAGGAGGAGGTGACCCAACAATCTCCACATCTGTAAGGTGGTTCAAATATCATACACTTCATTCTATAGCCTGTCTAAGTTCTTAAGATGATAACAAAATCACATCTATTAAATTACAGCATTATCTATGGTCCCCAATCTTAACCCTTTCCTAACATTCACACTTTTTCCTTACAAGTGAGTGTCATTATCTGCAACATTTTCCGATTTTCACATCAATAAAACAGCAGTAGATATATGTCAGCCAGTACCTTGGCCAGCTCACATTATGCACTTCAAGTAATAAACTAGGAACTTCAATATTTCTAGCACTGTTAAACATGTTTAATAACAATACATAATTCAAGACCTGTGTGACATATCGAGGCCCAAGCCATACATCCATCCATCTTTAACATTAGAAAATTTAGACTATACACAAAATGGTATGAATATTGTATTTAAGCATCCTGTTGCATCAGTAAAATCATTTGATATACAAACACACACACAATGACACATTTTGGCAACACAAAGTCACTGTCAGGAATATATGATGATGATATAAAAAGGTGTGTGTGCTGTGGCATGGCATACACCTTTTCACACCATTTTAAAAGTTCTAAAAACATTTTACATATTGAATTTAGCAGACACCAAAAATTTGTCAAATAATAAACCGTTTAGGTGTGCAGCCCTCACTGGTTATATAACATTATGCTAGAGTGTAACGATTTATGTAATCATCACCTATACCTGAAAATAGTACCTGACAGTGGTACACGAAAACAAGTGACAACCTGTGAAAAGTCATCAAGACACACCAAAGGGATTGGGACAAGAGGCTGCCTATCTTCCTTCTTGCATCCACCTATGACACTATGAGCTTGACCCCAGCTAACACAGCGTTGGGAAGAGAAGTCCACCAGCCCTGTGACCTGCTATTCGGTGCTCCCCATGACAAGGATTGACCCACCATCAACCACATGACAGACCTCAAGGACTGGCTACACAGCATCCACAATTACACCCACCAACATCTGAAGCTGGCCAGTAGCAGAACAAAAATGCGCTATAACTCCCTGGCACACCCTGCACGCTAACAAGAGGGTGACAAAGTGTGGCTGCAGCAGGCAACCCACACTGAAGGAAAGTCACCAAAGCTTCATCACTCATGGGAGGGCCCACACACAACAGTCACACAAATCAATAATGTGGTCTACAGGATTCAGCAATACCCTAGAAAGATGACAGTAGTGCAACCGGACTGGCTAGCACCCTACCAGGGAACTACTTGAGATGAACAGCCCTAAGAAAGCATCAGCTGGAGAACAGTGAGGCCTAATCCATGGCAACTGAAATCCGAACACTGATAATACTAGACAAAGTGTCAAGACCACTATGACACGATGGTGCTATTCACAAACACGATCACATACATCACAGGCATTACCCTGTGCTACAGTGATTTAGAGTGTGTTACAATCATTTACAGTTACAAGTTACAGGGATTCAATAAATTAAATATTCAATCCAAATCCCATGTCCTGTCACTAACATGTGTTTTGGTTAGTTTAATGTGCATACATCAGATGTAACAAGTTATGTTTATTGTTTCCTACAATAATTAAAGAAAGATATGATGAGGAGGAGGACATAAATAAGGACATCTTTCATTTCATCTTAGACACTACAGCAGAGTGGAGGTTGGAGGGATGGCTGAATCATTATACACCCTCTGGTGTACACGTATAGTACTGTTACCACTTTCTTATGCTGTAATTCATGCAAGATATAGCTGTCCCTGTGATTAAATAATTAAACACAGTGCCATGAAGACAGTGGAAGGGACAGATATAGCTTCATGAATTCTCAGGCTCGGCACTGTATACAGGTGAATGATCAACTTTATGTATAGTCCATTCGCGGAGACGAGACAGTCAGCATAAACAAAGCAAGCCCCTAGTCGCCACAGCTGACAGCAAGGAGTGGGCAAAGCGCGCAGTTACTCAGTGTAATCACTGCATTCGGACGCACGTTAACCTGCATTCAGACTGAAGAGTGAACTTTGGATGCCCCTGCAACGAAACACGCATCACGTGATCGCTGCATGATTTCATTCAAAGAACAAAGGAGACACCGCGTGCATTTGTTTATGAGGACTCTCTCGTCTTTGCGAATGGACTGTAGTGACTGTTTTACCCCCCCCCCCAGGGCAGGGAAGAGTCCCTGGTACCACTGAACAGACTGGGCAGACTCTCTTGGTCTCTAATGCAGCCCATACTGTGAACCAAACCTTGATTCTCCTGTTGTCCAGCCTACAGCCCAGTTACTACACTGATTTCAGTACACGGTTAATTGTAATTCAAGCAAATAAAGTAATGAATACCGACCTGCTGTGAGAAGCCTCAACCACTGATTGCAGGAATATGTATATGCAATGAGGGAATTTGAAGTGTTGTAATGAGATCGTCCACCAAACACAAGCATGTAGTCATCAGTTGTTACAGCAGAATGTAAGTAACGAGCCTGCGGCTGGGGATAAACAGCATATATATACATATACATCTTAATAAAAGAGAACTTTACTAACCTCTGCATGAAAAATCTGTCATCCATACAAGATTCTTGTTTTACATGGTAGCATACTACTTTGCCAACTGTGCTATTTAGCATCATATGAAAAATGACATGATAATTATGACTAACGTGATGGGAAGAACATAGAAAGAAAATCACGATAATCCAGACACCTCCTGAGTATACAGCATGCAGCTACCCCTTGTGCTGCAGCATAATGTACAATTTGTACTGAGGCAATGTACTTTATTTAATGCTAACCTGATTACATAATTACATATCTCTGTCCAATATAATGGAGTCCAAAACATTCATCGCAACAGCACTGAATCCTGGCACTGTATTCTGTCCTAAGGCAGATAATATGTTCTCAGATTTTTTTGGCCTGCATCAAACGGATACTTTGGCCTTTGGGATTTTGCCACACTGCATATGAACATGTTAAAACATTTCAGCAATGCCATCTTCAGGGTGAATGAGGTGGTAGGCCCACTTCATTCTTCCACCTCGTTCTCCATAAGATGGAGAACCGCAGTGTTTGTTAACACCTTGGAATGGCTTCAAAATGTGATCCAGCTAAACAATGCAAACCTAAATTAGACACTATGCCACATCATTCAATTTTGTGTCTATGTTTCTCACTATATCAAGTGAAGAGTTCTTCTGGGATACAACTCTGTGCAGTCTTTTGAGAGCCAACTGACATTTTGGAGGAATATACCACCTCCATCTTCAGGGATGAGGAGTAAACCAAGCAAGAAACCAGCAGAGTACAGATTCTGCTTGTTACTTACTTCGTGCTGGTTGTTTGCTTGGTTTACTCTGCAAATCTGAAGACAAAGGCATTATGTTCCTCAAAACAACAGTTGACTATCAATGCACTATACACCATTCTTCACAACCACTTCTGTGAGAACCTCAAATCCTAAGTTTCACACTCTCAATACCATTTAACCTCTACCCATTAGATTTTATAGCTCCTCCTGCAGATCTTACCTCAACCAATCAATACAAATGTCATCTTAATCAAATACAAAAGCAAAATCTTACTGTCTGTGACAAGCAACTATAAATACAAACCAGATTAAGTCTTTGAGGGTTGTATTCTTCAAATGTGGGCAAGATGGACCAGAAGCGAGTTGGATAATGAAATGCGTACAGCTTGTTGGAGATGAATGTCTGGTTGATGCTATACATGTAGCCACCAAACATGTAGAAACTCTGGGTGGGGGCATGATACACAGTGCTGTGTCCATAGACACCTGAGGCAGAAAACAGCAATTCATAACATCGTCATTCTCATACTACACAACAACTCCTAGCCTTGCATACTGCCTTGCGATAAAAGTACAAACAACTACTAAGCCAACATATGACATGTTTGGTATACAAAACAGAACAGAAACTCTATTTTGAATTCCCTTTGAAAAATGCTAAAGAAGCAATGAATAGAGTTTCATAACTGGGTGTGCCATTTTTTTTCCCCCCGTATGGAACAAACCTTAAGGATGGAGTGAATCTTGAAACTTACCAAGTGGTCCATTGCCTGTTGTGTTAAGAGAGTTCCAGAGTTCTGTTTCCAAATCAAACTCCCACACTGTTTCTAAGAAGCCACAGCATGGACTGAATCCTCCAATCAGCACCAAGCTTTCGGATTCACCACTTCGAAAAAGAGTTAATGTGTGCCCAGCCAGAGGAGGTGGATGTTTCTTTTTCTGTCAAAAAATAAATAATGAATGTCACAGACCATTCTATTCTGGAAGAATTTCATTAATTTCATACACATCTCTTCAGTTCGTGCTGGCAGTGTTTTAAATTAAGACTAAATCCTTGTAATGCAGTGACATTGTCACATCAGTGAAGAGAAGATGAGACGTACTTGTATGGTATCGAACAGAAGTATGAACACTATTTACATGGACTTCGTCCACCACCACAGGTTTTATACAAAAATTAATAATAAAATAAAAATAAAACAAAATAAAAAATCAGTTCTATTTCCATCTTCAGGTGGAGAAGATCTGAAGAGATTTCTCTTCCCCTTGAGTCCCTAGACAACTACTCTCATGCTCTAGGCATGATCACCTAGAGAAGGGGTTCCCAAACTTCTATACATTACACCTGCCTTAAAACATTTTATAAATTTCACACCCCCTTTTATAAGTGCAAACAATTTGACATAAAATTCAGCTATGAGTACACACATTTTATAATTTATGATACACCATTCAAAATATACACCTCATGGTTCGATTAGTGGCATCAAAATGGTTGCCTCTTTGAACATAACTTATCATACCAAGTTGGGAGTTTTGAAATGACTGCTCTGAGGCTCTACCAGATTTTTTCTGAGAAGCAGTGGGTCTGGAACGGGGTCCACTCAGCCTTGTGAGGACAACTGAGGAGCTCTTTCGAGGGAATAGCAGCTCTGGTCTAGAAAACCGAAATTACTGACCAAGGGGATTAGTTGCGATGACAATGCGGCACCCTCTATCCGCTAAAATTGGCACTCACTTCACCAACAAGGGGAGGTCACTCAGTCAGTATAGTTTGCTTGTGGCCTAAAACCATGCAGTTCGTTTTTCTCATACGAGATAAAAGTGCCCCTCCAGGGGTGGCATGCCTCACATCCTAGGAACCTCTGATCTAGGGTAGGAGAGAGCAGCTCAAAGTTCAAACAGATAGGTTTAAATGTTCTGTCACACTGTAAAATAATTAAAACTGGCTCAAAATATGTGTTCATTAAATCAGCACATTATGAAATAATTTAATCAAACTATAAATGAAGATAAATTCATTTCACTATATGGTGTTTAATATGTTCAGAGGTGGACAACTGTCCCAAGATTAGATACATGTTACACAAGTAAAAACAGTAGCACATACATACCTTAATTTCAATCCACCTCTGATTCTTATGATTGAACTTCCAGAAGTCATCAAGGGTATTGTTTGTCTGGCCACCAATCTCCTCTCTCTGGTTTCAAAAAGATAGAGTTTGCTCATAATGTCAATAATCTAAACATCTTGTTTAGAGTTTCTTTCATCACAATATTCTGCTGTTCAACTTGTGGTGGATATTACACATAAACTGTACCTTAAAATTTGAAGCTGTTTAACCTGAAGATTCATTACTACATTCACAAGAGCCTGTTGCAATTGGTCCCTTTCATAAGTCAGGTGAATCCAGCGCACACCTTAACATCCTGCTTATATAAGATCTCTTTCAGTATTTCTCCCATTTATGCCCAAGCCTCCCATGTGGTATTCCCTTCAGATATTCTGACCAGAATTTGTATACGTTCATTTCTATCATATGTGTATATGCTACATGCCCCACCAACATCACTGTTTCATCACCACATATGGCAATGAACATAGTCACGAAGCTCCTCATTATGCAACTCTCTCCAACCCAGTGGTGTTCTAATATAATATTCTCTTCAGAACCCTGTTATTATGTACCCTCAGTCTAAGTTCTTCCCTTGAAATAAATACTGGTCTGCAGAGGTTACATACCTGTGATGTACATTTGTCATCTCCATGACAAATTTGTGAAAGACCTCCATATACATAGATCTCTCGGCGAGAGCTGACTATCTCTGCTGCATGAAAGTAGCGAACTTGGGGCATGCTTCCAGTTGAGTCCACTGTCACCTAAATAAAGTTATAGCGACAACAAAGGTTATTCTTAATCTTGCTAGCATACAATATGAAGCTCTATTAAAGATAACAGACATCTGAAGTACAGGAAATTCTGAGTCAAATTAAATGATTCTACAGAGATATTGGGTTCTCGGACTTTATCCAATGTCCTGGTTTTAAGATAACTAAGAAAAATACGTTTTGGAAACTGGATCTGTTTCCGTCCTCAGGTGAGGGAAAACACCTATTCTGTTGGGTTCCTTAGAAAGACGTCCAGTGATTCTAAGGGACCCAACAGAATAGGTGTTTTCCCACACCTGAGGATGGAAACAGATCCAGTTTCTGAAACGCTGTATTTTTCTTAGTTATCTTAACACCAGGACGATGGATAAAGTTCGAGAACCCAATATCTCTGTGTGTTATACACCATCATCAGAATGCTATAGTAACTAAATGATTCTACCTTCATTAACAGTTTTCTGTAGTACCAAGCTTCAGACAGCCAAGAGTACTTAGTCAAATTCTAGTGTTTGAGGTGAAGTAGTGCCTGGCCTATCAACTAGGAATTCCAACGTGTATACTCTACCGGCATCCAAGAGTTGTTCTTTGTGTCAAAGAGTCTGATGTCATTCAAAGGCCCATTTGTTAAAGAGAAACCTCCAAACATCCAGAGTGAGCCACGTGTGTCAACAACCAGACTGTGACCGAAGCGTGGCAGCTGTTTGCGCAGATGGTCTACTTGACTGTCTGTGGGGAGTCGAGCCGCATCAAAAAGTTGGGTAAATACCAGCTGTGAGCCATGCAGAGCCACTGAACAGTCCTCACCGCCAAACCCAGAGGAACATAGGCAACGACCATATTTCTAACAACATAGATATTTAACAGCCGTCACTCTGCTTTTAAAGTTTCATATTTAATATCTGGTTATAAGATTATGAAGATATATGTTTGGAAAATAATTTTTAAAAGTCCTTATGAAGGAACAACAGTGTTCTATCTTAAATTATTGTCCCAGTATTAGCATTAAGAGCTCTAAGAAAAGTTGTAAGATACCATCATTTCCATATCTTGGGTTGACCTCAAACATAAGCTCCCTTATTATTATTAACTAACTATTTCAATCATTAAATGGGCAGATGGCATTTATTACAATCTAAAAATTACCAAGCTTATTCAGCTTTAATACAAGGCGAAAGGAAAGACTGCTAGAGTCTATGGTGAATAGGAAAAAAAATTTGGTGTTTTGAAATGTTCTTGTAAATAATTCATCCAGCTACATTCTATTCAATCGCATTAGTTCTAGCACACTTCAGCTATAGTAAGGAGGTATTTCATGCTAAATAATAATAAAAGAAAAAAGTAAAATTTTCAATCCAGTCTTCTCTGATTTCAATAAAAGCTGGTGAACTGCACATTTCATAGAAAATCAATATGCTTGCAAAATGTTGAGGACTCTATGTCTTACAGTTTCTATGGAGCAGGGGTATAAGAATCATAAAGAACTGCATTTTCTGGTATATCATCTCGATTAAAAATTATCATAACTTTCGTTCTGCATAAACTACACAGCTTACATGGGGATTCTTTAGAAAAGCCAATCAAATGCTCTTTTCACAGGGAATTTCATTAGTTTTTCTAAACATGCCCCATATGAAGTCCGAAGTATGCGCAGAATGAAAGTTATGATCATTTTTAGTGAATATAGTGTACAAGACAAAGAGATCTGATATGATTTTGCATCCCTGTTCCACAAAAACTGCAAGACACACAGTGTTAAAATTCTGCAAGAACACTATTTTCTATGGAGTCTACAGTCCTGCCTAAAATCTGAGACTGTTATGACTGTGATAATTTGGAATGGAACATTCTCAATAAGTCCACTTCTGAAATGGAGATATGAATGAGAACTTCACTAATCCCTACTGGTAGGGACAGCTTGAAGTGGACTTCAAATGGCATACGACCCTGTTATTCCTTACAGTCATACGAAGTTTTACTTCGTCAGAGGTGAATAAAGGGCATGAGCTTACAGGAAACTTATTTAAGCATAGCATCTTCTCCATATTTCTGGAATGTTACTTTCATGAAAACAACCCAAGCATAAGATACACATGATATGGAATTAAAAGCGAGTTAAGTATATTACCCAGTGACTTACACATTCACGCATCACAGAAACAAAAAATTACTCACCTTGTCACACACTCCTTGCCTCTTATCACTGCTACAGTTGCTGGGACACATTTCGATAGAACAATTAGTCCCTGTCCAGCCATCTGCACATATGCATTGCCCACTGCGACAAGTGTGATTACCAGGACAACTATCTGGGCAGCTCAGAACTTTATAACTGGCATTGAAACCCTCTGACAAATCTCCTTGTTTGTAATATACTGTCAAAACACCTAGAAATCAACATACATTATTTAACTGCAATGAAAAAAGTATATTATTTCTGAACATATATTAAAAGAAACTTCACAGAAGCCAAATATTTTTAACACTGTTATTTAGAACTCTCATATAAATGTTAAAGCTCATAAATATACTTTGTATAACACAATGGAATCACGTTCCTGAGATATGTTGAAAGAGGAATATTACTGGCTATGTACAGTAAAGTTATCTCTGTGCTCAACTAATTAAGCACTATGCCATGAAGGCATATGGGGGAGTCGATGTATAAATCCATATTTTCTTGGCCTCAGCACTAGATGGAGGTGAGTGGTCAGCTTCATGCCCTGGTCGCTTTACCCCAGGGAAAGAGTCCCTGGTACCCATTGGATAGGAGGTTGTGTAGACCCCACAGCCCGCCTGGACGAAGTGAAAATTCTTGCCCCCACCAGGTCTCAAACTCCGACTTCTCGGTTGTACAGACTGTAGTCAGTCACTATACCAACTGCACTATCCCGGCTCTTTATTGGCTATATAATAATGATAAAACATATAACACGAACTAAATATTTTTCTCAGTATGCAAATACTCGTAAGAGATATAACTGGATTAACCTTTATCATCCAGGAATACTGATTTTTAGATCTTCTAGTAATAGGGGACTGGTGGCAATATTTAGTTCAAGGGTTGACAGTTTACTGTCCATGAATCTTAAATCCCCTGCATCTACACAGCTGGAGACGATATTTTACCTTCAGAGTAATGATATTAATATTGAAGAAATGCACTGCTCAGCCAGCAGAATATGCATATGTTGTTTCAATAATGTAAAACACAACCAATGAAGGTTAAATGTAATGAAGGAATGAAAAATGAGAGAGATATCAAACATATATTAAATAATATTGTAGCAATTAGTACTGTTGCTATGCAATGATCATGAGAAGGAACATGTGTTGCTAGGTAACAGTTGGTTAACATTCTCGCAGAAATCATACCTGGCCTATTACTGGACAACCAACCATGACAACAACAGAAGAAATGTTTGAGGTGATGTTTTCTGTTAGGTCCGCCCTGAGGCTATACAGTGAGGACCCCAGCCTGGCTGAGTGGCAGTTTAGTTGAGTGAAGTAGCTGGTTGGTGAGTGAGAGACTTCAGTTGCGAGATACTCACCAGAGTAATGACATGAGCATAGAGGCTGAAGAATCTCCACTGTTAGAAGCTGTTGCTGGGGAATGGCTGCTCAAGACACAGCAGGATAGAAAAAGACTTAACAGGTGCTGTGGTAATTTGTGAAGTGTGAATAGTGATAGCATTTAATTACTTGTAGTTCTGAGTGGTGTGTATAAATGGTCAATAAATCCATTGACCGACCCATGCCCCATCTATAGTCACATAAATACATGACAATATGTTTAAAGAATAACAAGAGAAAATCCTCCCTTTCAAACCGAATAATAAAGCATATTTCAAAATTAAATTCATTCCTTTCCTGGTGTACATCATTAAGAACTAAAATTTCAGATAGCACTAAATGGGTTAACTTGATCCACACAGGCTTTAATATTACCAGACTTGGCTTCCACAGTAACTGGGTACTTGGAGTCCACGCTGCAGAACACACCCAGCACGTGACTCTGGTGACTGTTAGTGGCTGATACAAAATCTGGCAGCCCATCATACACATAAACACTGTTCTCTTGGCAGCTGACGTTGATGTCCTCATGGATCGTAAACTGAACAGTACTGTCAAACGGAAGAAAACCACGTTAATGTCTCTACAATCACTTAATGCTCATGTAATAATACTGTGATAATATGACTGAGACAGCCATTCTTGGGCAACAACTGGTTAAACTTGTAACAATGCCAGGCCCATTGCTAGGCACTGCCCACCATAACAATTTGAGCCAGTTGTGGAGCCTGAAGACTCCCAGAACTGTAAGACAATAAAATATGATCATGACTTCCACGGGACTCAGAACCAAGAATATCTGTGCTGGCAAGGGCCAGAGGCAATTGAGCAGGCAGGCAGGCAGTCAGGCGGTCAGTGAGGGCCAGTGAGAGCGAGTGAGTGGTCAGTTATGGCTCAGAAGTCGATAGTGGAGCAGTCAGTTGTAAGGAAGTCGCAAACCAGTTGCCATCCAGTGAGGTCATGAACACAGAGGCTGACAAATCCACATGGTTGGGAGCCATAACCTAGCAATGGCTACTGAAGACAAACTGAGAAGAATTCAGGAGTGCTGCATTGAGAAGCTGAATGTGTGTATTATCAATAGCATTATAGTTATCTGTAGTTATGAGAAATAAAAGTATAATACATCCAATTACCAATCAAAATCCCATGTCTGGTCACCAACATGTGACAATATATAAACAAGATTTGTACTGAAGTTTTCATGACAGTCCATTTTCACTGCATAATCATCTGGGTACATTATGTTATTTATTTATTTATGGTTTCCTTAGAAATGCTGTCAACAGTTCAGATCACATAACATTCATAATTTTAATGTATTAATAATTATTTACCATGAACACAGTAAATACAAGTTAAGGCTTCATTCTTCTAGGATGTGATGCTATAAAGTTTGGTAGGATATCACACTAACACCATTACATTCCAGAAGACCACAATCTTGATATTCCCCACCATGAAAACCAGTTGACTGGTTATAATTTCAATTATTTCTGCTACGCACATAAAATGTGAATAATACTGTGTTATAAATCCCATGACTATCTACGTCACACATATCACTCTGTTTCATTACACGCAGAGGAGGAACAAGGCAATTTTACAAGACATGAAAGTTGTATGTGATCAAATCATGATTTTCAATATTTTTTACTTTAATGACCACAAAGATGAACCATGATCACTTACTATCAGTTACTAAATGATTTTTTAATCTTAATCAGCAATGAAGAAATTAATCATATATATTCAGATAGGCTGATATTTGAAATATTCATAAATTCAGTGTTAATTGTATACACAGTTCACTGTATAAGAGAGTCACAGAAATATGAGAATTTGCTGGCTCAACAACAATACAAGACATGAGGGTGGATGTCTCATAAATTACTTAACAACAATGCCAAGTGCAGCAGTTATTTCGTGTTTAATGGTATGAATGGGGGATAGCTTAAAAAAAAAAAAAAAAAAAGAGTTCGGATGGAAATAGTTGTGGCCTATTTCAAAGTATTATCCTGGCACCTGCCTGCAGACTAAAGGTAATGACAAAACACAGTCAGAATAGCTGGTGTGTCAGCCAAGTTTCAAACCAAACACTTAACTGAATACAGCTTAAAAGTGTTACCACTTGAGCCATCTTATTCAGTTTGTCACATAAAAATATCTTACAAACTAATAAACTTGTTCTTGTATCTTAATAGAACAAAGTAACATGAACAAATGCATAATATGATGAAATTGTTTACCAGTCATGTGGAACAGATTTGTTATGTACATCACATGGAGTTACAATCCACAAACACTCCCTGGTGGGTGGTGCACCAAGGCGAGACTCCCACGGTGTCAACTGACCCAAGCGGCTACCCAGACCTTGTGACTCCAGACCGGATAACATTCCTCGGGACACACACTGATAATAACATGTGCCACCATTCCTTTAAAAATAAACAAATAAATAAAAAAGTGTTGTCTGAGAATGGTAGTATTGGAACTGTTGGCAATATGCAGAACTTCACTTTAAAATGCTATGTATTATTAAATAGTTATGAAATAAATATGTAAGTCTGTAACAATATTGGTCATATAACTACCCTTTTGCACTATATACCTACCTGGGATCTCCATAATAACCCTTCCTGCACCTGCTGCATGTGTCACCTTCTGTATTATCTTGACAGAAACACACCCCAGTCTGCAAGTCACAGATGCCTTTTGCTTCATTTCCATGTCCATTACAATTGCAAACATGACAACCTCGACCAGACGTAGCATTCCCATAGCTGCCAGGTCTGCCAAATATTCACAAAAAGATAAAAACCTCAGCCATGATATTCTGCAGGATTGTGGTTCTTGGTCTTCAATTTACAGCAGAAATGCATACATATAAATGGTGATGTATACTCAATTGACCAAAAAAAGGCTATCACTCAATTACTTGGTAACATTTACTGCTTAAAATGACATCAAACAAGATGTGTTCCCCAGAGTATTGTATTTCTCCAAGTAACACATTCCCCTGAAGACACATCATTCATTTTCTTGTCTTTAAAAATAAACACATAAACTTTTAACAGTAACAATATTAATTAACACTAGTAATCACATGAGAAATGCATACAAAATTTTAGTCAGAAAACATGAATGGAAGTAGTCACTTGGGACAACTAAACATAGATGGGAGGCTCATATTAAAATGAATCTAATAAAATAGAATGTAAGGGTGTGGACTGTATTAATCTGACTTAGGACAGGGACTAGTGGCAAGCTCTGTGAACATCATAATGATACTTCTGATTCTAGAGATGGCAATGAATCTCCTGGCTAGCTCGGTAACTATCAGTCTAAAGGACTCTGCTGCAAAAATTTAGTACTGAAATAATGCGTTTAAATACACTATCTTTCATTTTTGGTCCATTATATTTCAGCAACTGTCTTCATGCAACACAGAAAATGCTCTTATTTTTGACAAACAATACCAATGAGTAATATGAAATAAACATAAAGACAGGTTTGCAGCCAGTTACCATGAGCTTGGACTACTTGAACACTGACAGCATTGCAAAATCATTATCAGTCTATCCCAGCCTCAGAATTCACTGGCATTGCAGAAACATGTACAATTCAGAGCAAAAGGATATACCATATTTATTACTACAGTCAGTACTGTAATCTCGTAGTCCTTATAAGTCTGTATCCCATACCAGACCATCCTCAATGCCATCCAAACAGTTCAAAATTTCACACTTGGTGGCATTGAAGGCCACTTCAAAATCAGAAAAAATATCCACTGCTGCCAGATGGGCAGCCTGTTTCACCCTCAATTTTCAGGGCACTGTTCGGTGTCTATACGCTGCATGAGTTCCAATGAACATGATACTTTTAAATGGACTGCCAACATGGCAACTGTGTGGATGACATGCTGAGTACAAAACAATAGGTGGGAGCAGTACTTCATTAACGATTTAATTTTCATCTTCTGCATTTTGGCAGCATCAACTGGCACATGCTGTATAGCGTATGAAGTTGTCAAGTCTACTTCTGAGGTTTTTAATGAAAAGCACAGCACTGAATATGATACACAACCCATCATTAGACGCAAAGATTTATGGTGAAAAACTAATGTGGTAAAGCTATCTCTGTAAGAGGCCATGAAGGCCCACTGGGTTATGAGATGTTGAGACTTTTACATTTTCTAGACAGTCACCTCACAGATGGCAGTGAAGCTGTCAGCCTTATGTGACAGCCACCCTTTAACCACAGGAAGATTCCTGGTCCTCATTTCTATTAGAGGCTGAGTCAACCCCAGGTCCATAGTGCAGCTGGAAGGATTAAGTCAATTGAAAAATCCAATAACTTCATCAAGAATCGAACCCACAACCTTCTGGCTTGTAGCATAGTGCCTCAACCATGCTACTGTGCACCCCCACTGCATGTGCTACTTTGACAAATAATATTTATTAATGATGCAACAGTGACCTAGCAAAAACGGGAACAACAGAGATTGGAGATTACCTGTATTTATTACATACACAATCATGGAACACAGGAAAATTATGGGGGGACAATTGAACACAAACAAGCAATAAATATTTTGCACTGTATGGTTACCTTACCTACCTACAGTACTGACAGAATTCTCCTGTAGCCCAGTTCTGACACTCATCACACTTGTTTATGCCCTGCGTACAAGTGGAGTGATTGTGACAACCACAGTTGGTCCCACAATCCACACCCGTCCAGCCGAGATCACACTTGCATGCATAATCAGGTGCACCCATACAATAGCCATGGATACATTTGTTGTAACATCTGTTCATCATATGAAAATGTGTACAAAGCAGAAGTTGAATGAAGAAAACAATATATATATATATATACACACACACACACATATATATAATTCTGATGAGGACAGTACTTAGAACATTGTGAAGGAACTTGGTGAATCATATTATTATTTACTACCATTACTACTTACTGAGAATTTACAATCTGAACTAAACATTTAGTGTCTTTGGACTTCTGTTTTGATATGTGCTATTTAATACTAAAAGAACAAAATCCATACTACAGTAAGTTTTATTTGCACCTACTATGAAAATTTCAAAATTGCTCCTATGAATTCACTGAAAATGATATAGGATGGGCATGAAATATGGGTGATAAAGCTTAAAATAACATGTCAGTCCCTTACTACACAATTTTATGTACACTAGCACAAATCTCATTAAAAATTTCAATGGAAAATAGTTAAATATATACTTGGTCAAAAAACACCTAACTGCAATAACATGAAAAATCTGGAAACACAATTACATTTACACAAAGATACTAAATTTCACAGAACAGGAGTATGCATTACGTGCTGCTGCTAAAAACAATCTCCGTGGTTTTAGTCCGCAAGTGAACTATAATGACTGAGCAACTGCTGCTTGTTGGCAAAGTTAGTGCCAACTTTAGCAGATAGAGGGTGTCGCATGGTCACAGCAACAAATCCCCATGGCTGTTAATTTCGGTTTTCTAGATCGAAGCCACTATTTCCTTGAAATAGCTTGATTATCCTCACGAGGCTGGGTGGACCCCGTTCCAGACCCACTACTTCTCAAAAAATCTGGTAGCGCCAGGAATCGAACCCGGATCTCTGGATCTGTAGCCAGGAACTCTGACCACTAGGCCACAGAGTGCTACTGCTATCCAGAAGAATTTGTTCTGGAAATGGTGGCCACTAAATACTGAACCGTGCAACGGTTCTTCTCTGTGAAGTTCTTTGGAGTCCCCCCCCCCCGAAACGCCGGGATGCGAGCCGTTTTTCCTTCTTTCCGCTCAAGGTCTTAGCTGACGTCAGGTCAGCTGACCTAGTTCCCCCTCCCTTCCTGGACTAATGCGAGGTTTCGTGTGTAGCGATAAGGAATGCCTCGGTCTCTCTTCCCGATACCGTCAGACAGGTAACATCGCCAGTTCCAAATTCGCTGTTTAGGTTGATTTGAGTTTGTGAAATTCTGTTTCGGCCCGGGCGCATTCTGAAGGGGGAAGAGTGCCCTCGCGACCTGATGAAGGTTGTATCAAGTCGCGAGGTTAAGCTTTGTTCGTAATTTTTGGAAACGCCAGTAAGTGACTTACTGTTGTGCTTGGTTTCCTGGTTTTATCACGACGCCGTGTGGCGTAAGTAAATGGTTTTGTTTGTTGGCTTGAATAGCCGGTCGCCCTTCAGGCGTGTGAGTATGAATATACAGTTGTGTTCCCAGTAAGGTCAATGGTTGCCATGAGGCGTGCTTATATTTGTGTCTGTGCGCTTAGCACAGAGTAATTCTGTATTAATTGTGAGTGTGTTTTGACCAGCCACTGCCCATCAGGCAGAGTCACCTGTATGCCTTGTTATCAATATACACATTTATTTATATGTTAGAAACGCCTGTAGTATTTGTGTATACTTGGGTTGTGTGTGTTCCCTACTAGTTCAGACTAGCAGATCCGTCCAGCTTGGCCCATAGTGCCGACAGTGGTTTTCCTCTCCCGAGATCCCCTACTCGACCTTGGGGAGGCATAGTGCACCACGTACAAGCAAGTCGTCTTATGAGCCTGTCCCTTGCCCGCTTTGAATAGGAGTCCATGGGTTTAAGTGGGTAGGAGAACTGGGTTCCCTTCCACATGGGAAGGGAAACGGCTCAAAGTGGTACCAGAGCGTGGTTCCCGACCCACGGGGGCAAGGGGCAACGGCTCAATACTACTCAAGTACACTTTCCACTGTTGCAATATTATGCTTCTGTAACCAGAGTATGACAAAACATCAAGCCTTTGCCTCTTATATCTATATTGTAAATGGATATTATTACGCTCATATGAAAAAACAATTGACTTCGACCCATACTAAAACATGTCTCACATGATGGACTACATCAAACATGAACCTAACGTATACGTCTTCGTTACTTACGTTTTAGTACAAGTTATCTTGCCATCACCAATAAAGCCACGTTTACACTGACAGCTGTAAGAGCCATGAGTATTGGTACAAACAGCCTCCGGATGGCAGTCATGAAGACCGAGGTCACACTCATCAACATCAGGGCACTGTGCATAAGCCCACTTTGCTTCCGAAGTCATCAGTGATATATTGTGATGATCACTTACCACCTGGCTGCATGGTTCTAGGAAAGAAAAATTAAATTAGCTTATGTATGATATGATGGAGAAGGTAAATTTCTAATACACAGGTCTTAGTTTCAAGGCCACCAAGAGTCACTGTTGATTTATTTCTTTTACAACCCCAACTTTCATAACTGCATATGAACATAGGGATTACCAGATCCTCATTGTGATTTGAGAGTTTACATAATCTGGAGGCCCTCACAGGCTCATTGCTAACCTAGCAATGGAGGCAATGACAACTGTCCAATGAGTGCACCACTTCAAAAGTAGGCCATTCATTTTTACAGAGAGTAACCCAACAAGCAGCAATGTTTCCCACACTAATATACCATGTTTATGTCTGTATATTATCCACTGGTATGCAATATTTACTGGATTAACATTAAATCCAAAATGATTACAAAACCAATTTTCTGTAATATTTTTATCTCTCAATCTAAGTTTATTATCTAAGATTTGAGGCTTTCACGGCGGTGACTATGAAGAAAGCAGTCTTCTGGGATTTTGCACCGTGTATATGTGGTGTTAACCGACGTTTCGGAGGAACGTATCGCCTCCATCTTCAGGGTAGAAGAAAAGATATATAAGAAATCTGCAGGCAAAGAGACCGTGAGAACCGGTAGAAACTGGTTCTCACGGTCTCTTTGCCTGCAGATTTCTTATATATCTTTTCTTCTACCCTGAAGATGGAGGCGATACGTTCCTCCGAAACGTCGGTTAACACCACATATACACGGTGCAAAATCCCAGAAGACTGCTTTCTTCTAAGTTTATCATCACCTTGAACGAGAGCACATTGGGTGTTTATGTTCAACAATGTCTTCAAGATGTTTGTGTTAAGTCTGTTGATCGAGTTTCACAAGTGTATTTCACAATACAATTCTGACAGTTCAGAGGTCCAAAAAAGAGTGCTCCTTACCAGTTTGTGGGCGATTAAAATCACCTTCCACACAAAGACCAAGGATGGGGTTCTCAACACTGTAACACCAGCCACAACCTAGATTCTGTAAGCAACCTGAGCAGTTGGCATGTCGACTACACGATTTACACTGCTGGCTGAGTTGTAAGAGACCTGATTTGTTAGCTGTATCTAATCCACGCTGCTGCTGATGAGTATTAGCCTGGTCCATCCACTCACGGCATAATCCAAACTGATACTCTGATGTGTACACAGAGAATGAGAAGCATTCCTGCCAACATTAAGAACAGAAGTCTACTTTAATGTCTGTATGTTCTTTGGTGTAACACTGCAAAAAATTAGTAACTCTATTTCAGGTTGATGGATGTTTTCATAATTTCAACATGAGGAACTAAGCTGAACAAATTTTGCAAAGAATGAAAACTCTGTATTAATAAAATAAAATAAACAGTCCTCAACTGAAACTTGATATATCTGCACTGTAATGCAGCAATGCAGAGTAGGTATATACATTATACTGAAATTCCTACAGAAGCTGCAGTCACTTTGTTATTCAAATAATTCATCATTCTTTACTGGACCTGAATGAGGCTCATCGCTGTGTTCATGAACACCCACAACAGCATTCAATTCTAAGTAAAATCTGTATTATTGAAATAAGCTAAATTTAACTTTGTTAGGCACCGGTCCCCATCCCTTTTCCTTCTTTTGCTAGCCTAACAAAACTTTAGCTGTCATAGTCATCTTTGTATGAATATTTTACATGCAAAATAAATCAGTACAATTATTTAACTACAACTGTTTAATAAACAAAAATGAACTTTATTTGCTTGGGCATATAATGTTACTATATGTGAAGAATAACAACAAACTCCATGATTTTAGTCTGCGAGCAAACTATACCAACCTAGCGACTGCCGCTTGTTGGCGAAGTTTAGTGCCAACTTTTGCGGATAGAGGTGCTGCATGGTCAGCACAACAAATCCCTACGGCCGTTAATTTCGGTTTTCTAGACCGAAGCCGCTATTTTCTTGAAATAGCTCCTCAATTATCATCACAAGGCTGGGTGGACCAGGTTCCAGACCCACTACTTTTCAGAAAAAATGTGGTAGAGCCGGGAATTGAACCTGGACCTCTGGATCTGTAGCAAGTAACTTGGACCACTAGACCACGGAGGCGGTCGTGAAGAATAACATGGATATTTATTTACATCTGCTCAAAAACCACAATTCAAATTAAACCATGCTGAAAGATACAAGTAACAATGATAATAAAATCTAACTTCCAAACTCCGTAGCCTGTAGTCTGCAAGCTAACTATACAAACTTAGTGACCGCCGCTTGTCGGCGAGGTTAATGCCAACTTTAGCAGATAGAGGGCGTCGCGTGGTCAGCGCAACGGATCCCCACGGCCGTTTATCTCTGTTTTCTAGTCTGGAGCCGCTATTTCCTTGAAATAGCTCCTCAACTATCCTCACGAGGCTGAGTGGACCCTGTCCCACACTCACTACTTCTCAGAAAATGTGGTAGCACCAGGAATCGAACCTGGACCTCTGGATCTGTAGACAGGAACTCTGACCACCAGACCACAGGGGCCAACTTCCAAACATATGGGAAAAATCTGTAAAGACGTAAAGAAAGCTCTCACAGGGGACCCACCTGTGTTGCTTCACACCAAACACATCGACCTCGGTCATCAAGACACTGAGAGCAGTTATCACGCTGATAGCAAGGCACTGGGCACTGGGAAAGCTCCACCACTGCATTCTGTGATCTGCAGCATCAGTAACTTTCACTTTTGGCAAAGAAAATAGTTTGAAAAATGCAAAGACCAGAACATTCCCCAAGCAAAAGACAGTCCAATAACAGTATAAATCTGCATACAGTGAAGTGTTATAATCATTTTTAGTTATGAGCTATAAGTGTCCAATAAATCTAATTATCAGCCCAAAACCCATGTCTTAACTGCTAACATGTGATAACACACACACACACACAAAAAACTCAGCCAGTACAGAAGGACTCCAGGCTAAAATTTTAACTCAGGACCTCCAAGATATGAGAAAGGAGTGTTACCCATTCAAATGCTATGTTCAGTGGGCCTGTAGTGTGCTTTATTGTTTCTCAACCCGTATTCCATTGGAATTCAAAGAGTCTGACATATTCAAATCAAGTCTTGGATGTTCATGTTTTGGTAACTTTTAACAAGTGTGCCTTCAAGTGAAAATACTGAAATCCAGTCCTGTCGGGCATAGCAATGTGACCCCAGTAGAAAACTACAGTATACTGAACAAATTTACAATACAGGAAGATTTGAAATTGCAACTACACACACAACAGCATTGGAACCTGTAACATTCAAATTTCTCTACAATAAAGACTAACATGTACAAAATAAACTGTCAGATCACTTGATATGAAGTTCTTTTATACAGTTTCCTTTCTCTCTTTAAAAATAACTTGACAATATATTCATGAACATTCAATAAAACTCACCTCCCTCTTCTGGCGCACCGAGCATCTTCAGTCCACCACTCACAAAGACTACTGCCAACACAGCTCTCACAAGTAATATAGTTGGAACAATTGGCACAACTGAATGGGAGCAACGTGAAGTAATGCCATTCTTCTGTGTCTGACCCTATGCAAGAAGATGTATGGCTGTTAAAAGGACACTTTATATGCAGTTCTAACTATTGTGCAAGAGGAAACTGTGATATAAATCAAGCAAGTATTTTGGAACTTCCACATATATAATTTGTATCTGGACAGACATCCAGAACAGAAGAGAAAATAAGAACATGGAAAACACAAAACGGAAAAAAAAAAATTTTTAAGAGAAGGTAAACATCCTTTGAAGATAAACTAATAAATAATGAGTAAGCAAGTATGAGCACATCTTAAAACTTTTACTGTTATATCTGACATTAGTCAATTACCAGTGTTTTGTCCAGACTGCCGCATCTGATCGAGACTGGATAGTAATGTGTGTAACTATGCTGCAGATTTGGATATAGCACAGGTCTAGTCATGTCTCCCAAAATGATTTCATTTATTTTCTTTGTAAACAAATTTGTTTTAAATTTTACTGTGATTTCTTCTTTGCGAACAACTTTGTTCAGACAACCACTTTTAATCAGTTGCTCTGAGTGGGTAATATTACCTCACAAGTGATCAGTGATTTGCTAAGGAGACAATGATGCTCCTTTACATAAGCTAAGGAAAAGCTTTCCAGTGTTGAAAATACTGTGCCCAGGCTAAGGTAATTAAATATATTTTTCTAAAGGCTTTTTGAGGAATGCGTTATTGCAACTCTTTCTCTTGCTTCCTTCATACAATTATATTATTTTCTTCAATTTTAGGCTGTCATGCCAAAAGAAAATATCAGACTACTTTAGAAACACAGATTAAATGAGGCATACAGTTAAACCTAGAGAGTCGAGATATCTCAGTTGGTATAGTGACTGGCTAGCGGCTGGACAGCCAGGATTCGATTCCCAGTAGGGGCATGATTTCTGTTCTCTACAACGTCCAGACTGGCTCTGGGGTCCACCCAGCCTCCTATTCAATAGATACTAATGGGTTTCTTTCATCGGGTGTAAAGTAGCCAGAGCATGAAGCTGACCACTTACCTCCATACAGTTCCAAGGTCAAGAAGGGTGGAGCTATACCTCCATCAATCATGTTTTCATGGCATAGCGCTTAATTAATTAGGCACAGGGCCAAATTTACCTTTTTGTACTTAAACCTATTGTAATTATTGTAATTTGACTTTAAATTTGTTATAAACAAAAACTTTCCTGTTAAAAAGAAATTATTTCTTCCAAGATTTCCCAAAATACTGCCGGCTGCTGATAACATGGGCCTTCATAATACTTGAGCATGCACTTTGAATTCAGCCACTCTGCTGCATCCACACCATTCCGGAACAAGCTTCAGAAACATATTTCTCCTAAACAAGCTTTCATTCAGACTTGCTAGTTGTACATTTCCACCTGTCCACAATATTACAAACCTCAAGCCTGATCTCTGCTGAATCTGCATGCCATCTGCAGAAGAAATAAACAGCTTCTAATTCTAACAGTGGGGATACACCTGACTTGACTACCACAGGAATACTGAACATGGCATCAATAAGTATTTCAAAACCATCTTTAAAGTCAAAAGCATGTATTCTTTCAGTTTATTCTTTCCTCTTAATTTTCACATTTCATTCATTCATTCATTCATTTGTGGGAACTGCCCACAGTCAAGCAAGTGTGACAATGCAAATGTCATTGCTTAGCAACAACGAGTAAACAACGGTTGCTAGGCAAAAGCAAGTAAACAGCGGTTGCTAGGGAACTAGTAAACACGGTAACCGGCAATAGCAGCACCTATTACGTAACCGTTTTCCATATGTCCGACTCCAGGCTACATACGAAGATACACTGACTTGCAGTGAGAGTCTAGAGTCTAGATTCTACAGTTCTGCAATTCTAGTCCAGTGTTCAAGCAGTTCACTATTGGTGTTATCCGTCTGTGTATACTGTGCAGCTGCAATAAATCCTATAGGACCGTTCAACTAGTGGTTGTCTCTTCATAATACGACATCCCACAAGCCAATTACAACAAAAACACAAGGACAACAAGGTAAAATATAGTTAAAATATACAGCATTCATATCAAGTGATACAAATAAACCCATGTGGAGGCGGGGTCGAACACCTCCACCGTGACCCTGCGAGTCGTAGGAGGTGACGAAAAGGGTAATCTCAAATCTGAGACAGCAAAATATGGTTAAAAGTCCCAAGGGACTCAGACCCGAGAAAGGACCAGCAGCATATACAAAAGACAGATCCGCCCTCTCTGATGAGAGGACGGATCCTCGGTCTCTCGGTTTTGTGTCGAGATTTTTGAAGCGGGCGTGGAGGCGGTCCTGTCCGGTGCTCAATGCAGCCACTTGGCGGGAGAGATCAGCGATCTCCTGCCAAAGTGTGCCGATGTCCGTGGGTCTATCAACGCTAGCGAGCGCTGGCCAGACTTCGACCTCGGAAATGCGGTCTGCACAGAGGGCTGCGGCCAGCGCTCGCTAGCGTTGATAGACCCACGGACATCGGCGCACTTCGGCAGGAGATCGCTGATCTCTCCCGCTGCTGATCGCTGCACATTCATTCATTATTGGAGGGGGTGAGTTTCCCCATGAACCGCGACCAACTGTTGATATATTGTACATCTCCCTTTGATATTCTACCAGTCGCCATACCCTTCCAGTACTGGTGCTCGCTATCAGCCCCATTCAGCCAGTGAGTTCAGCCCCTCTACTGGCAGTGGTACCAGATACTTCCCCCATCTACCGATGACATTGGAAACTACTTGGGCGGGAAACTTTTTACCTAATTTTCCTCAGGGGTCAATTTTCACAATTATTAAAAGCTGTAAAAATTCATCATGACCAGTTTTAATTACTCACCAGTGAAAGAGTTAACTGAATGGTTCTTCCAAATGAGAAAGACCGCTGTGTCATATATACAGAAGTGTCCACCAATGGTGAGAGTTGGGTGAACGGTGGAATAGGGAAGAAAAGAAGAGTACCAGAAGAAATGATGAGCATAACACTCATCACGAAAATGGGAGTGTACATCTGCATAACAGTGAATGATATACTGAGTTGTACAGAGATAACAGCAACATAAACTGATATGTGAGTACCTGAAGTGCACACCTCCACCTCATCGAGATGGCGTGAATAACAGCGTTGGTTCAAGTCACACCAGCCACACAGTGAATCAGTCAAACAGTGCAGACAGTTGGTGTACTGGTGGCATGACCCATTTTCATAAGGCTCTAAGTACTCAAATGTGAACACCTACACAATTAAGAAAAAGATAGTTTTAGAAATATTTCCAGAATACAGTACAATGTTTTAAAATTAAAAAATATCAACTGACATGTCACACATGACACAGTGTAGTTTTCTAGGTTATGGCACAATATAGTCTCACTGGTGGTTACCAATGTTTAAGGATAGGAAATGAAGACAGGAGGTTTTTCTGAAACACTGGTAACCACCTACAAGACTAGATGGTGTAATAATACAGAAGTTCACAGTCTAATATGTAACAAAACACATACAGCCCATTAAATTCAACAACTGGTCCTATACTCTAACAACATTATACAAGATACACAAAGAGGTTACTATATCATAAAATATAGGGAGTTAAAATCTGAAAACAGTGAGAAATTAAAGCAAAATATTGCATAAAGATTACAATTAATAACACCTTGGCATTCTCTGAGGTCTTGTTGTGATGAAGCTCCATCTTGGACTGGCGGTGTGGGGCATATGGTCCTCTTGTATTACGAGACTCAAAGTCCACCAAGTACCGACCTGGTGCGAGTGTAACCGGGCTGCCGGATGGCCAGTGGGCTGCCACACACTGTGACATCTCTGCTGTCAAGTTAGCAACTACCTGCTACAAGTTCACACTCATTGAACAAACTTGATCATACCACAACACTAATTAGTGTACATAGGAAATTCAACAGAAAAACACCTTAAAGCAATTACCACAGATCTATTTTGCTCAGTCAAATAATATCTTAATCAATGAGAGACATCCCAGAGACTTAAAAAGTGTTAGATGACTTCCTTAAAGAATTACAACAATAAAAGAATTAAATCGGTATGCCATGATTTCATCTGAAATTTCATCTGAAATTGAAATTGGTGTTCCTTAAACGTTTTCTTTAGAGAGCCAAAGCTGTAAATATCACTGGGAGAGAGATTTAAACATTGTGAAGAATGTTTAAACACTTTCCATCACATCTGACATATATGTTGGTTTGATGATACAGTTTACAGAAAGGTACGCAAAGTCATAAAGAATGCTAATTCTTATGTGAATTTCCCTGGACTTAATATTGCAAAGTTCACAGCTGGGCTTCTACTGAACCTAGATCACCAGTGGATGCATTTTTATCAAACCTCCCTTTCAGACATATGGCTATAGAAACTGCAGTTCTTTTGGAAACTTGTGTTCAAATACCGACTGAGTGACCGCGCCTATCAGCAAAGTTAGTCCCAACTTTAGAGGATAGAGGGTGTCGTGTGGTCAGCGCAAAAAGTCACCATGGCCGTTAACTTCGGTTTTCTAGACCAGAGCCGCTCTTTCCTTGAAACAGCTTCTCAATTATCCTCATGAAGCTGAGTGGATCCCATTCCAGACCCACGACCTCTCAGAAAACCTCGTAGCACCGGGAATCGAACACAGACCTCTGAATCTGTAGCCTAAACTCGAAAATTTGGAAAACAGTTTTCGTGTTTTAATTATGGTAAAAAGGTATGTAACATGTGCACGTATAGGAGATACCTACCACCTTTCCATACTCTACATCATGAGACATATTGAGTACAGCATCTGAGTAACTTGCACATACACGAAGCATCTCGTCATTACCCCAACTCTCAGGAGGCCTCAAAAATCCAAGTAGACGTGCAGTAATTTCCCCTCCAAGAGCTTGCTCTGTACGTGTGGACAAGCTCACCGTATTGAAATCCACTGTTGTTGCATTAATTATTGTGACCTAAAATCACATATAAAGATGTGGGTATAATGAAAACATAACAGGAGTTTAAATGCATAAAACTTAACCACTCATCAATAATTTGTTATTTAACGTATGACACCACCATTACAATTATCCTCTGAGATTTCTGTATTAAGATACAGAACTCTAAATCCACTATGGAAATTAAAATAAAAATGTTAATTTTGCTAAAAATGGACTATATATAATATTTTAACATACTTTGTGTATTATCCACAATATTTTTCCTTCCCCTCAACAGTGGTGGGCAGTTACAAGGGAGACTACACGATTCAACTAAACTTCTATTCTATTCTATTCTATTCTATTCTGTAAGATTTGAGGTGCCAAATCCCAGAAGACTGCTTTCTTCCTATTCTATTCTATTATGGCTCTATAGCACTTCATTGGAGCCTTGGCCACTTTTTCAGTTTCTTAATCTAAACACAGTTGGTAGGAATCCTTGAATGGGGGCTCAGCATACTACAAGGTCTCTACCTACACACAAAATGTAGCCATGGCATAGCTCAAGCGGTTACTTGCTGGCTTCCCACCACGGCTGCCCAGGTTCGATCCTGGGGCTGGTCAAGTGGGATTTGTGCTGGACAAAGTGGCACTGGAGCAGATTTTCTCTGAGTACTTCAGTTTCCCCTGCCAATTTTCATTCCACCAATTGCTCCACAATCACTCTCACCTATCATCTGGGGCTGGTACAATAGGCCAGAAGTGGCCACAGAACAAGGGACTTAGGCCGACCCCACTAGCAATAAAAAAAAACACACAGAACAACACAAATACAGAATAAATGCACACAGACATTCATGCCTTGAGTAGCAATCAAACCCATGACCCCAGTGTTTGAGTGGATGAAGACTATTCATGCCTCAGACCATGTGGCCACTGTGATCGACAACTAAACTTCTACTCCTTTATAATTAGTATGAGTATGAGTAAGAGTATGAAGGGTGAGCCATAAAAACCAGCCCTCACACTGGCACCTTCAATGATCTATTGTGCTTCCCCTTTGGATTAACCCTTTATTAGTCCCACACTTCGAATGAAATGTAGGGCTTTATTTATGGGGGCATCATAAAAGTCACTTGGTTCCATGAAGAACTGACCCAGGTGGCGATATCTTCGGTAAGCTATAGCCTCACAATCACATAAGATGTGTGTGGGTGATTCGTCTTCTTGTAGACACCTTTCACAAGTTGGGTCATCTGTCAGTCCCAGTTTGAAAAGGTGTCCTTTTAGGTGGCAGTGTCCAGTAAGTAATTCTACCACCCATCAGAGTTGATCTCTGTTTAATTTTAACAGGTCCCTCGTTCTTTTGGCAGAGGGTCCTGATATAAATCCTTTTGCCTGTTTGAGTTCAGTTATGGATTCCCAGTGTTTTTTGTGATTTCTGTTAGTCCAGTCCCTGATCGCTTTCTTGGCAACTCCAATTGAGATGCTGCAAGCTGGTTCATGTCCTGTTTATAATTAGTATAGGTAAATTCCATTTCACATGAAAAGACCATTAATGGAAACATTTGCACTTCATACCGAATCAGGGTGAGACCAGTTTGCAGGATTCTTGTACTTCAGGAATGTGAGGCCTGGTCTGCGATCCAACTCACGACACTCCTCAACCTTCACTACCTCTGTACCTTTCGACCCCCACCATCCTGGAACCTGAGATGGAGTATCCTCTCGCAGACCACACACTCCAAAGTTATCTGCAAGGAGTACTCTGTTGAGTCATTATCTTCACTAACATCACCTCTATGACATGGGTGACCACTGTGCCCAAACAGCCACAACACACCCCAAAATGTCCTGAAGTTCACTCTTGGACTATGCTAGCATTTCAGCTTGTCATCAGAACTTGGTAGCCTTATTCAGAATTACTGAGTTTTTGGACTTTGTCCATCATCCAGTATTCTACAAACCAGAAAACACAATGTTTCAGGAACTGGATCTGTTTCCATCCTCAGGTGAGGGGGGGAGACACTCTGTTGGGTCCCTTAGAAAGAGAGCTAACATCAATCGCTGGACCACTGGGACCCAACAAAACAGATGTCTCCCCCCCTCTTAGGACAGAAACAGATCCAGTTTCCAAAATGTTAAGTCTTCTAGTTTCTAGAATATCGGACGATGGATAAAGTCCAAAAACCCAACAATTCTAAGTATTATACACCATCATCAGAACACTTTAGAATGGTAGCCTTATGCTCCTCTGTTTTTCTGTGACCAAAGAATAAATTTTATTTATCAAGTTGTGGTTCTGTGGCAACAATTGCCAGCAGAGCGGTAACATGAATATTTACTTTTATTTTGGCTACAATAACAATAAAGTTCTAGAAAGTCAAGAAATTTCTTACACTGAATGTGGATTATTTATGAATTTGAAATCCAATGCACATGCTGGAAAGTATTACAGTGTTTATTTTTGGTTCTGGCTGGAATGAGAGAAGATGTTCAATAAACATGCGATTTCACTAAATAACAGAACACTAAACCTGGATTTCATTGTACGTACCATCCTTATGATGACAACGGGCATTTTGAACACACCATGTGCATTGGTCCAGCCTTAACTTATGGGCCACAGATGAAACTTGGCCAGCCACAGCATCACCTGGACCTGATGCAGACATAGAACCACCTGAAGCATTGCCATGGATCAGACAAGAGTGGCAGTCACCGAGAGCCGGACAAATCCCAGGACATCTTGTTGTCTGCAGGTTTGTAGTACAGTTGATGCCAACAGTTCGGCCATAACACACCTCATCAGCTGAACACCATCCACACTCTGGATTTGAAGTGCATTCTATTTTGTTGTGGTACCTGCATGGAAATTAGTTGTATCAGAATCAGAAAATCAACTGCCATTTAGCTACTATACATAGGGAAGGTTAGAATGCAGTGTGTTAATGAATTCATAACAGGGTACCTTGATTAGGTCAGGCTGAAGAAGAGTGCATTAAATGACCCTTGCACCTTGACCTTTTTCAGACTATTATGCATACTCAGAGAGTGACGTGCAAGCTCACATGACTGTATAACTGATCACTATTTGTAATGCTCATCTATTATGTTAATCAGGATCAAGATTTAAATGGTGAAAAGGAATTCTTATACTCATACACCCAAGCAAGCTTACCTTGTGGTTTGGACAGTTAGAACTTGTTATTAATCTGAAGTCTCTAAGTGATGAATAAATAAATTCCACTGACCAAAATAATTACTCTTATGAACCCAAAATTTTATAGGTAATCAAACAAGCTAAGCTAAGGGAGGCAATGTCATTTGAAATTAATGATTTGCAGAAACTGGTGACTTCAAGCAGCATCCCTTCATCTAATTCTAGTGCAGAACTGTTGAATAACTGTTGTCACTTTGTGGTACACATGATTATAATGTACTGTTCAGACTCAGCTTATCAGGTCAGCCTACAAGCACTGACAGCGTAGCAAAGTAGCAACAAATGTAATCACTGGTGAATTATAATATTAAAGCGAAGCTCATGCTGCGAAGAGATATATATCTGTAAATCCAATCAATGAATATAATAAAACTAATATTTCTTTGCAACAGTGAGGTGTGGTTGAAGTGGTTGTTTCCTACAATCTTGTCGAAGCAAGGCTCGTTAAGGTCTGAGAAGGAATTTCATCTCTATATCACTGACTACCAGCCTTCGCCTATTCCCTTCCGCTCTAGACGGCCTCAATTTTGTTAAGCATATCTTGTTTACTGGCACCCACAGTTAACTCCTGTCCTCTAGTCCTGCCATCTGCTGCTGAAGGATCTAGGAAGACAGAGAGTGATGAAACCCCAATAGGGTTAAGAGAGTAAGTGTTTGTAGTAAGTGCATCACTGATGTCAGATCAGAAACTGGAAGTAGTTCAGTTACAAACTGTTCACCCAAAGCAAGGCTCAACAACACAAGTGCAGTCATACGTGCCCCTCAATTTGTGGCCACAATTATGTCCTTGCAGAAAAACGGTCATAACTGGGTATTATTTAAACTGACGTAACTCAAACTCTAATCGGTATATTCTGTTCAGATTTTCAGTACTTATTTTTCACTGCATCAAAGATACTATGTAGAACCTCTCCTTTATGTACAGAAATCCAATAGACACTGTAGAAACAACATATGCATCCCAGACACTCATGTGCCTCCTATTTAAACTTCCTCTTTTTATTGGTTTCTATTTCAGTTACTAAATCTTTTAACATAGTAACCAACTGACAGCTTTCATAGAGCTACCAGCTACTGATACCTATAAACACATAAATGAATATGTCTTCAAAACTGACAAGGCATGAAAATCAGTATATTGCAATAACTGCTAGGGAAAAGCCACAGAAGAAATCAATACATGTGATAAGAATTCATTATTTAGTTTCACATATTACCACATGATTAATAACACTTAATAAAAATTCTCAGGTTCTCCAGCAGACATAATAAATGGTGTATGACCTAATTCTCAGATTGGTCACGTGGCACATGCCAAGAATTAGATAATGATGCTGAAAGGGTGAACATTATTAAAATGTATTTAATCTCAGAGAAAAGCTCCTTACTAACATTTTCCATACAATAAAGCCCATTGTGCCCTCTATTGTCATTTATCTGTATTATGCAAAACAACAAAGTCTATATGCAGCTAGAAATTTGTATAAGCCTAGGGGTTAAGGAAGCAGCACACAAAAAGATGGCTAACTTAAACACAACCAACTCAACAAACAATCAATATTTCTACACGTAAGAGCACAAAACAGTGAAACGATAAAGAAGTTAGTTTAAATTAATACAGTGGAACTCAATTTTAAGTTTTCCTTCACTTAACGTTTAGTTTCACTGATCCAAAGTCGATGCTGTCAATGTCAAATTACCTCAATTTAAGATTTTTCTCAGTTTAGTGTTCAAATCCAGTCTTCCCCAAAGAAACTTTAAATGGGGGGTTCACTGTATATGGGCACAGCACATTTCAAACATAGTTATATGACTTTCAGCCAAGTTTTTGGAGACGTGACTTTTTCTCAATATAAGGTTCAGGTCCGTTATTTGCTAGAGGAATTTTATATTATACTGTTAAGAAATATAATTATTTTAGCAATTTTTAACAAACAGATACTGCTCACCTGCTACAAACTTGCTCTGGTTCGAACGCCTCTCCTTCCCTGCTAGCTAACATTGGTGGCAGAGTGTAAGCCAGGAGGTCTGCATTCACATTTCCATGGTACCCACCAACTATGATTAATGTATTGCCATTACGTACATCAGCTGCATGTGCAAACACTCCTTGTTGTTTCGGATAACGGGAAACTGAAATTATACAAAAATAATACATTATAAATAAAAATTCAATTAGGAGAACATAGCTTTGAAATATTACACAGGATTAAATTGTGTTAGTAGTTCACTGCACTGTGGAATTATGTTCCTACACTATTTCTCTGCATTACTTTTCATAATTTATTTACTTACTTGCTTACTAACAAAAACTAAATTTATCTAACTGAACTTACAAATGTAACTAAGACAAATTAACTACTAAGTAACCAACTCATTCACTTATGCACTCCATGGAGCTGAGTCCTTCTTGAGAAGCTAACAGTTGCTAAGCTATTCAAGAAATTCCCTGCATCTTACGAAAACTGCACTTTTTTACCATGTTCAAAAGAGCCCACCACTGGTTCCTGTCCTGAGCCAAATGAATCCTGCCCACATCCTCCCAGCCTGTTTTTTGAGATCATTTTAATACTGCCCTTCCAGCAGCAGCGATAACATTTGAAATCACCTACAAGATTAGATGGAGTCATAATTTTCACCATTGTGAATCTTCAAATCTCATACCTAATTCTTAATATTTGTTATATGTATATTTTATTCTTCAATTTTATGACTTTTAGTACTACTACAGAACAACCACTATAAATAACAGTGTTGCGGGGGAATTTGTTTTAAAAGAAATGGCACCTTCGTCAGTGTTGCCAAGAATTTCATGGCTAACCCATGTGTGGCAACCCAAGTGGTACAGGTATAGCTGGTTGTCATAGCAGATCTCCTCCTTGTTGTGGCGATGAGAATAGCCACCAAAAACCACCAGATAATTTCCTGTTGATCAAACAGAATAAACAAATTAAAAGCACCTCTGAAAAGACGAAGTCTTGTGTGGAATTCTGGAATACATTTCTCAAAATTTTTTAGTACAGGGTCCAGTTTGAAGGAAGGTTCGCAAGGTACGAGTATGTACCCGAAAGACATTCACTGAATCTTTCATGTAAATATCTTGATATCATTGTATGACTGGAATATAAACTAAAGTGAAAGTGTGGTAGAATGAATATAGCTTTTAACAAGAACTTTACTATAGCAACAAAAACCATCAGTTTCTTAACATTATACATATGGACATCCATCACACAGAATGAGGGTTTTTCTTTCTGTCACATTCATCGTAATGAGTTATTCCTAACTCCTCGTAGTTTATACCATAACTTTTTGCGCCAACTATACTAGCTCAAGCGGTTAGTTGTAGGCTTCCCACTGTGGCGGCCCGGGTTTGATCCCTGGTCTGGTCAAGTGGGATTTGTAGTGGACAAAGTGGCGCTGGGGCAGGTTTTCTCCGAGTACTTCGGTTTCCCCTGCCAATCTTCATTCTACCAATTGCTCCACAATCACCCTCACCTATCACCTGGGGCTGGTACAATAGGCCAGAAGTGGCCACAGTACAAGGGACTTAGTCCCACGCCACTAGCAATAAAAAAAATACTTCCAGTTTTGATTCCAAAGTTATGGCTAGCAGCCTGCAGGGGTTCCATTAACCCACCTTCTCCAACCTACCCCTTTTCAAGAAGAAAGATCACATCCTAAAATCTGTGAGAAGCTTAACACCAGCAAGCTTTAACGACTGAGATATATTCCATGTCGTGAACAAGACCTCAAGGTATGTATTCTTGTGACGTCATTTCATTACTCAATGCCATAACTACAATTCAATGTAACTACAACACAAAATGTTGAACAAGTCGTTTCACAGTTGCTCCTTCATATTATCAACTCTCCCTATACTGTAGAACAGTCAACACTCTGTGCTGTCTTCCACTGTCTTCTGTCTGGCTTCACAATCCACTCTCTCTGGCTCCTTCTCTTCCACTGCTCTCTGGCTGCCTGTCTGGATTCACAACACACACACACTCCTACTCACACTGGCTCCCACACCGCTCAGCTGGCCTCTTATACTGTTCCCTGTTACCATGTAGTAACTGTGGTGTCCCCTGTTACATCACGGGGGGGGGGGGGGGGAGTGTTTACTGGCCTGTTACCATAGCAGCGGCAGCGGGCCCTATGCTGTTACGTCACCGCGGCAACAGTTGCCTAACACAGCTGCTGCTCTGTTGTTATGTTACCGCATCGCGCGGAGTCCACAATCCTCAACACACCATATGATATCCACTGCACCATTCAGAATCTTCTCTTCCTTGTCACACAGCTTTCTTCTTTCCTTGAGCTTCCACTGACTTTGCTGGGGATGATGTAACAGAACACAACTATACATGTGCATGTTTAACATTTTGTCAGTGTAGTTGGTATAGCGACTGGTTATCGGCTGGATGACCGACGGGTTGTAGTTCGAGTCCCTGTAGGGTCAAGAATTTTCTCTTCTCCATGTCGTCCAGACCGGCTCTGGGGTCCACCAAACCTCCTATCCAATGTGTACCATGTGCTCTTTCCCTGGGGGTAAAGCGGCCAGGGCATGTAGCTGACCACTCAACTCCAGCTAGTGCCTAGGTCAAGAAAATGTGGATCTACACATCCACTCCTTCATTCACCTTCATGGCGTAGTGCTTAATTTAGGCACAGGCGCAACTTTAGCTTTTTACCATGTCAAACATCTACTGTGTTTCAGTTGGGACTGTCTGCATATCTTGAAAACCCACATTACGTCAATGAAACAGAAGAATATGGAACTTGAAACAACGTCTGCATGAGGACAGCAGCGTCTCAAAGAGTGAAACAAGAAGGTAGTATGGATTAACTTCTTTGACACTGTTTAAGATATGGAAGAACAAAGAGTAAATATTGCTCACACTAAACCTAAGCAAACTATCATCGTTCCCTCCTTTTATGAGTATATATTGGTGAAATTTGTTTCATGGTATCAGTCTAAGAGTGGGTGATGAACATACTGAGATGAGACCTGCAGTACCAGTGCAATGTAATCGTAATAGGAATGGTTCACTGTATTTCTTGACACCATCCATCATTAGACTTAAACATCTCTGCCCACAGATGTAACTGTGTCCTGTTCTTTCAACAAATGTTCAATTGCTATTTCCACTCTTATCAGTCTGAAATCCAGAGATTCAAAGATGATGCATCAGCATTAGAAAGAAGTAAAAGATTTTGGAGGCATCGATTCCAAAAGTAATAACATGGAAATAACACCAGGATGATGGATGAAAGGAGAGAATGCTGCCTTCTGCAGATAAGTAAAAGTAAAGCTATCCCTGTAACAGTCTGTGAAGACCCATAGGGTTGCGAGACGTTGAGGGTCCCACATTATGTATACAATCGGCTCAAAGATGGCGGTAAGGTTGTCAGCCTTACGCGCCGACCACGCTTTACTCCCCAGGAAAATTATTTAATTAATTCCTGGTACTCATTTCTGTTAGAGGTTGGAAGGATTAGGTCAATTAAAAAAAATCCAATGACCTCATGGGACTTGAACCTGCAACCTTACGGCTTGTAGCATAGTGCCTCAACCAACTATGCTACCATGTGCCTTCTGTAGGTAGGACATGGAAATTTCACCCTACAGTTACCAAATATCTCAATATAGCAACATTCAGCAGAACCCACATTCAATCTTTCTCATATAATTTCAAGTGCAACATGTAACGTACGAGATTGTTTTAAATTATTTGTACAATAAAATTGATACACACCTATGATAGTGCTGGTATGAAATGCCCTTTCTCTGGGGACATGCATATCCTGCAGGTGTGAGCGAGGATAATGTATCTCTGACCAATGTCTGCTGTCCAATTGAAATGAAAACATGCGATCACTCAGCTTTGAGAATCGAGCCACTCCAGCAACAATGCCTCCATATACCAACAGAGAGTTGGTCCTGGCATGGTGCACTGTTGAGTGTGCCACAACACGGACGTCCAGCTCTTTACCTCCACGAGGTCGAACTTCTGACCATCTTTCATCATGGATATTGCCATTGGGACCTATAATAACAAGAACATTACTATTATTATAAGTAAACTGTTCATAAACACATTCCTATTTTATGACAAGATTAGTTGCACCCTGGACAGCATCAGGAGGTGTAAAGCAATAAAAGAAATGAATCCCAAATCGTTAAGCTTTGCTTGAGACCCTATATCATAGTAACACATATACAAATACCTGAAAAGCTCATTTTTGCCAAAGTTTTTCTTAAAATAGTCTGTATTAAAATAATGGAATTGTATACTTATTCCATAATACATCTTTAAGAAACTTTTACTTAATGTCAGTGCACTACATGAAAGAAAGAAAGAAAGAAAGAAAGAAAGAAAGAAAGCAATGAATCATTCTTACTTAATATAAAATTCTGGTCCCAAAAATAAGTGCATAACGTCACATAATTATTACATTATTCACTGATGCAGCACCACCTTGTGGTAAGTCTTGTAAATAGTAAATAATGCTACATTACTTTTTGCATTAACTGCACATGGGCAGCTAGTGAATTCATTTTTTCATATGTTCAAATCTAATTCTACAAGACAACTGTAGCTCCACGAAAATCTCTAAAAATCAAACCAGATTTACCTTAGTACACTACACATTATCTTCTATTACACAGCCACCTAGACACAAAGGCAAATCCAGGAAAGTTGGAGACAATTTCTAAAATGTAGAATGGCTTGAGTACATCAAAATTTCAATTGAATGTTTCTCTGGAAGAATTGCAAACTGATGAAAAACTTTGCTCTTTATTAACTCTATTATTATTAGTCTCCATACTCTTACTCTGGAAGTCACTGAGCTCAAATACTAGGATGGACTGCAATGTAACAAAAATACGTAGCTCACCAAGTCTTATACATTCAAGCAGATGAAAACTGTGTATCTTAATAGATACATGGTAAACCTACCCAATGTTGTGACACAGCTTATCATAAAATCAGACATATGTTCCACAGTCACTTTAACAGTACTCCACATACAGAAAATTTACACACGCATCAATTAAGAACTGCTAAAACCAACTATGGAATGCTATGTATTTCGTAACAAATTTAATGTGATCTGCCACAAAATAAGGTGTCATGAAACTGGGTAGGTTTATCCTAAAGTCTTTCCTTTCTCAAGACTTTTGGACTAAAACCAAGGTCATCAACATCATCCAGTTATATTTTCCACCTGCTACCAAGTCAATTGATTGTTTTCTGGTACACTGATCTGAAGGCCTGGGTTATTTTACAGAGCTTTCATTAGATATTCTATGTAGCAGAAAGTTAAAATGTAGTAAGAGTTATTGAATGTTTCCAACAAAAAACATGAGTGAAACACTACAGGCTGTCTCACCAAGACTGAGTCGAATGCGGAACAGCTTGGAGGAAAACTCTCCTCCAATGGTGCTTCCTCCAAATAAGTACAGCCATCCTTCATCCCCACCAGCCAATGTCAACGTGTGTCTGGTTAGCTTTGGAGGCCGAAGAACAGATGATACTGCCCGCAATGACCACGTCCGTTCCGTCACATTGTAAAACCATAGGTCATCTGAGAAACTTCCATCAGCAAGCTTTCCTCCATATATCACAAAACCTCCAGGGTAGCTATAAATAAAAAAACTTTCTATATATGACGGACATCTATGGCAATATTTTGGGTGTTGCACTGTGCTGGAAGATGAAAATACTCTAGTGTTCAGACAATGTTTTTATCTTTTTGCATTATGTAACAACCAAAAAATTGCAATGGATATGGACCACCATGTATACCCTTCAGCAGCTCATAAGGAGATATGGCAGTTTTACTGAACAAACATGTGCAATGATATCCCTTAAAATGACATCATATGATCTTGGGCTGTATGCATAAAATGGCATCATGAATGAGTGATGACTAGGAGAGTGAACCTATGGCTTTAAGTGGGGTATGAACCATAAAGATGGCTTAAAAAATGAGCTTCAGCATAGATATAGACAACAATCCGGCAACAGAAAATCATTTATTCAGATCTGGCTATCAATCCAACCTAAGGAGAGCCTAAATGGAAGTCTGGTATTTGGGCTCATTATCACCAGGTTAATATTTAATAAATTAAAAACAGTAGTATAGTACTTAATCTATTTACCCATACTGTAAGGGCATATTTAAATTACCCTATTTGTAGGCACAAAAATGTTCTTTGTATGCTGCAAAATCCCTAACATGGATAGCCCCATTTGTTCTACAGCCTTCCAAAATGGAAACTTCTGCATAATTTCCAAACATAAGAACTATTACTTTTAATGAAGCTTAAGATAACACAGAAAACTTCAGTGGCTGGAGAAACGGAAGAAATGAAAATCCTGTTCTTTTGCAGCTTTAGCCATTAACGTTCCGTTTTTTTTCCCCCTTGGCACTACAGCCCCAGGCCTACCTCCATGAACTCCGCATGGACTTATTATGTTATTTTTCTATGGTTTTTTATATTATTAGTCATTTGATGTGATGTTTAATCTCATATATTTTTTAAAGACTGACTTGTCCAATTGTACATAATGTAACAGTTATGGATGTTAAATAAATCAATCAATCAATCAATCACTTCGGTTTTTCTCGATCTTACACATATGGTAGGACTCCTTGGGCGCGTGATCAGCTCGTCGCAAGGCCTCTACCTGTAGACAAGCACAGGAAAACGCACACAAACATCCATGCCCTGAGTGGGATTCGAACCCACAATCTCGGCTTCCGAGTGAGCGAAGACAGTGCATGCCTTAGACTGCTCAGCTACTGTGACCAGTCACCCCCACCCAAAAAAAAGGAGAGAGAGAGAGAGAGACAGACAGAATGAAAACCTGACACAAATCCATATATCACAGCACTACGATAGCTAAATAACATGCTTCTCACATGCAAGATGCATGTCCGTAGCGAGGTGCAGGTTGAAGAGGTGTATCCGACTTCTTTTCCATAAACTCAAATGGCTCATTCAGTAATTCCACAAGGGAATCTTCTTTGTCTGAAGCCAATTCCTCCACATCATGACTTGTTTCTTCTGGAATTTCAATGTTTACTCTCTCCAAGTCCCATGTTTGCCCCTGTTCCTCACTTTCCTCCACTCCTCTGTGTAGATGAGCATCTTCTTCTTGTCCTTCCCTAAGCTTCACATCTCTGCCCAGTCTCTGGAGATGCCCTGAGCCATCACCCTGTGCACGGTGCCGTATACTTAATGTTGAGTTTTCCGCAATTGAGAATAGGAGGTTTCTAAAAATAGACTTAGTTGTGGGCACTCCCCACCGTTGTTCTCCTCGGTCTAATACTGCAGCAATTATCTGATGATCCGGTTGCCCCATGCCATCTGTTCCAACTGCAACAGTAACAGATAGTGGAACTCATATTTGCATGCCTTGAATACAGAAGAAGAAAAATGGGTCATTCTTGGGTCATTTCTTACATAACTATCCTGTACTGAAAGGAATATTTTAAACATTAGAATACTCTCTGAAAATTTAGAGATATTTATTTTATTTAAAATAAATGTATGGCCATACAGCAGGTCTCTTTCACAAAATCAAATACCTTCTAACATGCATGGCCTGTCCATCCCACAGGATAAGGGAACAGCCAACTGTTGAAGGCTGCCCATTTTATAATCCTGGCCTACAGTTTCACTTCACGTGAATTAATCTTACATTTAATTTAAGAAAAATGTGTGCTGATTCATTTCTGACACTACTCTGTACATGCATAAACAGACACAGATCTTCTAAGACTCTAGAAGAGTGCAAATCATCTTGAATACCAATGGCAGAATCTCGTGTTTGTTTCTTCAGAAGCTGAAAAGGTCACATAATGAGGCCACGTCACAGTGTGAGACTTTCAAACTCTTATTAACTTTTGGTTGTATGCAGTATTTTCATTAAAGATGTTGAAAGTCATGCCACTGGAGGTTACCTCCCAAAATATAAGCTTAATTCTTTGCATAAATAGCACATAATAGCAAAGTGTATCTAACACTGGGAAACACATTATTGGAATTATCTGAATAACAAATCATTTAACATAACAAATTTAATGAAACAGATCAAATTAAATGTATGGCCTTACATTTCATCTGATCTAAAACTGGGAAAAACATTTTAAATAGTACACATAATAAAAATTAAGAGAGTGCCAAGGAAACTTAATGATAGAACAGATCCAGCACCAATTAAAAACTGATTCTCAAATGCTTTCCAATGGGAAATTCACAGCACATATGCAACCTTCACTGTGGTGAAGTTCTTCATAAATAAGAAATCAAAATATAGCAAAGCAGTGAGATATCTGCTTCTCCAGTGTCACTAGATTTTTAGAAACTCTTCTCAAATTCTGTATAAGAAATTTTCCATAGGTTAAAAATTATAGATTCAGTAAACTTGCAAACTTATACAGCCATTTCTATTCCAGAAACTAAAATCTTAAAACAATGCATCAGGTCTGCTATCATACCTAGCTCATTTCCATTCTCATCTTCCCAGTGGCTGGTAGCAAACCGATAAACTTCCAGATTTCCCAGAACACTGTTCAAATTATAGCCACCAAAGACAAACAGACAGTCTGTCTCTTTGTGATAAACAGCTGTATGGGCTGCACGAGGCGTGAGGCCTCCATCTGAGTGAGATAACCAGTGCCATCTGTCAATACCAAAAATATTCAATCAAACTGATGGTTTTCAGCTTCAATAAATCCAAACACTCATGGCACATGCAGTTCTCTGAAGTAATGTCCCACATCATAATTGTTTCCTCTTACTGAGCTGACAAATCAATCTCTGTGAATGACAACCTTTGCTTGAAACCAAATGGAACTTACTGCCAGCCCACAGACAAATCAGATTTCTAAGATAGCTACTTACATGAATTGTCATGTTATTCTGCTGCAAAAAAAGGATGATTTTACAGTAAATATATGTGGATGAAGAAATTGCATGGTTTAGTGCCTTGCTGTTTTTTTGACTAAAATCAAATATAGTGAACCCCTCACTTAAGGTTTCTTTGGGCATCGGTGGATTTGAACATGTAAACTTGGAAAAATCTAAAATGGTAGAAATTTAATGGTGAGATTATTGACACTGGATCATTAGAACTATATATTAGATGAGGGAAAACCTGAAATTGGGGAATTTTAGAATGGGGGTTTCACTGTAACACTGTACAACAAAATGAACAACTTTTTCTCTCCTTTAAAGAAAAATCGGTGATTACAGCAAACTAGAATGTACTGACTTTCAATCTCAGCTTAAACATTTTGTATCACTCGCCATTTTAAAGGTACAAGGTGAAAACTTAACATACAAGTCATAAGATGGACAGCCAGATATGATGTGGCTGCTATTCCAGTCTTATATTAGACTGTACAGTAAATTACCTTACTTAAGGTATCTGCAAAATAGGTGGTAGGAGACGTGCTGGTAAGCTAAGAACTAGATGGATTGGTGTGGCGGAAGAAGATGCGAAGAAGTGAATGGGTGTAAGGAACAGGAAGAAAGCAGAGCAGGATAGAGAGGATAAGGGAGGCCAAGGCCCGACATCGGGCTGTTGCGCCATAGAAGAAGAAGGTGTCTGCAAAGAGGCCATAAATTTTAAGTGCCAGTGTTACACCTAAAAGAGCATGGAGAATATGTACATTTGATGTAACTGTGGACAGAAAATATTTCCACTTGATAACATGAGAGTTCACATCACAAAATTATACTATTTCGACACATTGTTTCAAGAACAGATTCCTTCCATAATACAGTACTGTGGTGTAACTAATTATAAAATCTAAGAATAAAATCTTCCAAATGTGAGTCAGTTACCACAGACTACAATTTCCAAACCAGTATCCATTCATGGACAGACACAACGCCATATGTTTCCTTAGTGTGTGTCTGCTGTGATAATGGCCTGACAGGTATCATGACATTTAAAAGGGGAGTGGGCTATTTGTTTCGAAGGACAATAATAATATTTGAACAAGAAAATCATTTTTTGATGTAAACATGTCATCATAAACAGGGCCTACAGAAAGCAGTGGATGAAACCAATCTTGCTTGCTGCCTCCTGCATAAGCATACCCAGAAGTAGCAAGCAAACAGTCTTAATCACTGCTACCTAATTGAGCATCCATAATGCACCTTATGGAAGCATAAACCCACATCCTGATCCAATGCACAATCAAATCAGTCTCTACATATTTTCCCACAGAAAGAGGTGGGTGAGTGGAAATCAACAGTTCACGGGTTACTGGCATAAACATAGCCTCACTGTTGAGCTAATCTTATTCATTAGAATGGACCAGGTTCAGCACAACGTTATCATCACTCACTTAATGTTAATTAGTTCTACAATCTTATGTGCAACAATTTTATTAGAACTTGTTAAAAGCTAGTTGCTTTAAAAGTTTTTTATGACATGTTTTGATCTAAGTGGTCATCATCAGGTGTTAACAATTGTGGATGAGGAGACTGCTGTATTTCTGCATTGATGCTTAGTTGTTGACAATAGTCTTCTTAGCGTGCATGTGTGCCTGTAACAAGAGTGAATTCTTCTACCAGAATTTATGTTTGTGAAGTTTTGTTCTGTATAATTTTCTTTGCACCATGATGACCACTTAGGTCAAAATATGTCATAAAAAACTGTTAAAGTGACTTGCTTTTTAACAAGTTTTAATAAAATTGTTGCACACAAGACTGTAGAACTAATTAACACTGAAAAGTGCAAGAGGATGCTACAATATAATACTATCACTCACTTGTTTCCAGACTGATCGGCTCTGTAGAGGCTGCAGGCCTGACCTGAATATCCAGGTTTACAATGACATCTGTTCATTTTACATTCTCCCCTGTGTAAATCCTTGCCACAGCCTTCTGGACATAGATCTAATCCGCAATCATGACCCCCCCATGTTCCCTCACAGTAACATTTATGAAGTGGTGAGCACATCCCATGATCTGAGCAATTGTTTGGGCAGTTTGTTACAAAGAATTCAGCTCGGAAGCCATCCAATACATAGTTTGTATCACTGTACAGCAATATCAGCATCTGTAATAATAAATAAAGGAATGAAATGTTGGTAATTTCAAATTCCACAAATGCTACAAGAACACCATGTCTTGTTTTTGGCTGTAAACATAGCCATTCCCTACAGACTGGAGGGAATCATACATGACTAATTGGGTTTGGGTAACCTGTTTTTGTGGTATACTTCTTTGTGCTAATTTATGATATAAACTTATCTGGAAAATAAATTATACAAAGAATATAAAACCATTCCTGTGCATGTAAAATAAAAGTACCAGCCACAGTTACACAAACTCTGCAGAAATATGTCATTAAGTACTATACTAGAGAGTAAACTGACTCCTAAAAATGGCAGCTGAAGGTATTTCAAGAGGCAAGACCATTCTGAAGGATCAACTTTCAGACTTTTGTCACATTTTACATTATGAAAAAGAACACACTAAAATACAGAAAAGGAAGTTGATTTCTCAAGCAATTAAGCCGGTTCTGAAAGCAGGGTCACTGATTTCCTGCCTGTGGTGTACTGTGAACTGCACTTGCGCAAACTGAAGATGCTATGATCTGCCATTCTAAGGATTCCTACAGACATGTTGAGGGTCAATATGTTCACTTCCATAAAATATCTGACCTGTGAAAACATAATAAAATAAAAATAAAGTGACTTCTAAGACTGAAGATGTACAGAAGTTGTGAAGATAATGCTCTGCACATTCACAACCTTAGCACTATGTAAATATGAGTGGTCAGCTTCATACACCAGCTGTCTGACCCTAGGAAAAGTACTCCTGACAATATTCTGATAGGATGTTGAATAAGCTCTAAGACTGTCCTAAACATGGCAATAACAAGAAATCTCTGAATGTCTTTGACAGGAATTTGACCCTTACTTACTTACTTATGGAGCTGAGCCCTTCTGGAGCAGCAGCCAATTCTGCAGCTACTCAAGAATTTCCCAGCATTTTATGGAACCCGAAGATTCATTACCGTGTTCACAAAAGCCCTCCGATGGTCCCTATATTGAGCCAGATCAAACCAATCCATAGCATTCCATTCTATCTCTCTAAGATCCATCTTAATATTGTCCACCAACCTACGCCTTGGTCTTCCCAGTGGCTTACTTCTGGCTTCCCCACCAATTTCCTATATGCATTCCTCATCTGCCCCATTCGTGCCACATGCCCTGCCCACCTCATCCTCCTTGACTTGATCATTCTAATTATACCTGGAGGTGAGTACAAGTTATGGAGGTCTTCATTGTTTTCTCCAACCTCCCGTCACTTCATCTCTCTTTGGTCCAAATTTGACCCTTACCATCAAATTAATATATGGTCATGATAAAGCCATCACAGAGTTTCAGTGCAATATAATGCTGACAATATAAATGACGTTTCTGATTTTCATTAAATTGTTCAAAGAATAATTCAAACTGCAGTTCCAAACTGCCATTACAAACTTGCTGAAAATAAGCCCAGTGTCATAAAAAAACAATGGCAAAGATGTTATGTTGGCATGTAAAGGTGTGTGCAGTAATATCAAATTAAGTAATTTGTCCATAAAGTCTTAGATTTCACATTATAATTGACATCACAGTTGCCTGAAAATGGTATGATCGTTCAGAGTCAACAAAAAGACATGACAGTGCAGAAATCCTGTGATGAATGCATTACAATTTCTCATATATTTTGAAGCTGATAATGACTATAACACATTCTGTAAAATGATGACACATGTTTACATAAAACTGGTATAACAAATTACAATATATAATAACTACTACAACTTTAGCATATGACTAAAATCATCTCTTCTACTTGTATGACAATTTCTCTACAAATTTTAAGGTTTCCATTCTTAGTGAAAGTTAGCATGATCTAGGGCCGCGCCATAGCTCAAGTGGTTAGTCGCTGGCTTCCCACCGTGGCAGCCCGGGTTCGATCCTGGGGTCTGGTCAAGTGGGACTTGTGGTGGACAAAGTGGCGCTGGGGCAGGTTTTCTCCGAGTACTTCGGTTTCCCCTGCCAATCTTCATTCCACCAATTGCTCCACAATCACCCTCACCTGTCATCTGGGGCTGGTACAATAGGCCAGAAGTGGCCGCAGTACAATGGACTTAGTCCCACCCCACTAGCATTAAAAAGAAACAGCAATTCCCAAAGATCTTATTCTTCGAATTTATTACATGAAATCTGCAGTGTGTTGTTATTATTCTTATATTTGGGGTTAAACTTTTGATTAGTATTTTTTGATTNGCTATATAAGTGGACTCCACAGCAGCTACCAGTTCAGTTGAAACATAGCAGCCTGCGAGTGTGCGATAACTAAGAAGTCAGCGAGCGGAAGACTTATTGTGTGCTTTCCAGACATAGTGATTGCTGTAGTACAGTTATACTCGGAGTGTGTATTTCAGGGAGACTTGTATAGCTCCCGCGTTAGTAGTACGTGAAGACAAGTGAAGATTGTGTTAAGAGATTTTGTTCTAGGGGTTGTAAAGTGTGGAAACCCGTAACATTGTGATAAGTAATTGTAGCCGTTATTTGAAGATTGTTAAATAAACCAATTAACCATCTCTACGGCGTCTTCGGTAACGTAAACACGTTACAGTATAATATGCAATGGAAATAAGGAATTTACTTTCATAAGAAAGTTAGTGGTTATTAAACCGCACACTATTGCTGACCACGATACATACAAAATATGCTGCTTGAAGTAACATTCAGTACATAGCGGCCTCCGTAGTCTAGAGGTAACGATCCAACCTCATGACTCGTGGTTCAAACCCGGCGGAGGTTGTGGAATTTTTAAGGGCGGAAAAATTCAGGGAACAAGCCCTCTGGGAGGGACTTTAAGCCGTGCGTCCCGTGTCGTAGCTTTACGTCACGTAAAAAGAACCTCATATCTCCAAAGGAGGTCACTGAGCCAAATTCAAGGACGTTTCCCGCCCAACAGTAGTCTCTAACGCCTCTGATAGATGGGGGAAGCATTATAGATACCGCCAAGCCAGTATAGAGGCCGAACTCGCTGGCTCGGTCGGGACTGATGGTACGCACCAATATCGGTAGGGTACAGAGACTGGTAGAATATCATAGAGGGAAGCACAATGGACCAATACTGGTCTAAGTGCATGGGGAAACCCACCCTCTCCAATAACTAACTAACTAACATTCAGTACATTAGCAGTCCTGGACATATGACAAGGGGTGTCCTCCAACTTTGGTGCTGAGCAAGCAGTTAACAATCCCTCACTACAAAAATTACTAGTAACTTCTACAGAGCTTCGAATTTAGACAGACCCTTGAAAATGAAATATAAGTCCTATTCATCACATGCTATAGGCTGTTTCCCAACAATTAATGGCAGCCAGAAGATGATGATGACTCCATACATCCAATTTGTGCTGAAATTATATCTGAAGAGAGCTTTGCCTTCAAGCCTGTGTTCATCATCCTGGTGTCATGCTGAAGCTCAGCAATAGTTTACTGTTGAGAGGTAAAGTTGTCCTTATGCTGAATTAATTATGCACTATGACATGAAGACATATGGGGGAGTGGAGGTATAGATCCACGTTTTTTTGACCTCTGCACTAGGTGGAGGTGAATGGTCAGCTTCACGAGCTGGCTGCTTTATGACCTGGAAAGGGTCCCCAGTACGCATTGGACAGGCTGGGTGAGCCCCAGAGCCAGTCTGGACAATGTGAAGAAGAGAAAAATCTTGACCCTACAGGGACTTCAACTCTAATGCATAAGCATCCTGCCAGTAGCCAGCTTACTGTTAGTCTTTTGAACACATGTCTGGCACTTCTGTATGAACCTCAACAAAATTTGTATTACTTTATTAGTCCATATTATTGATTGACAAAAAACGAAAATAACCCTCTTCATTTTACATACCTTTATACATGTGAGGACAATTAAACTCATAAATCAGCACACTGTATTTTAATCAATACTAATTCAAATCATAACTCACAGCTCCAGATGATGCAGTGACCTGCTGTGGTTGTGTCTTGCCACTGAAGCTTCCAATGAGTGGGGATTCAAATGAATCACCATCATACACAAATACATAATCATATGAGCATTCTGTACTCATTGTGTAGAACTTCAAGGTAATGAACTGGCTACTGTTCACAGCTGAAATAAAACACATTTAAATTTTCACTCATCTGAGACACAAGACAATGTACATGATGTATGATTTGAGTTTTCACGGCGGTGACTATGAAGAAAGCCGTCTTCTGGGATGTGGCACCGTGTAGATATTGTGTTAACTGATGTTTTGGAGGAAAGTATCGCCTCCATCTTCAGAGTAGAAGAGAAAAGAAAATCTGCGAGCAAGGAACCAGCTGAACAGGTGCTGACAGACTAAATCCATAAGCGAGGAACCAGCGTGACAGCACCTGCACACACTGGTTCCTCGCTCGCAGATTTTCTTTTTTCTTCTACCCTGAAGATGGAGGCGATACATTCTTCCGAAACATCGGTTAACACAATATCTACATGGTGCCACATCCCAGAATATTGCTTTCTTCAATGTACATAGTGAATTACCTCTTAGAACGTGGCTACTTGCAAGGCCAAGATGGAGCAAGGACATTAACATTAAAATGAATATTGAGAGAGGAGGATGTGAAGATGAGGACTGTACTGAATAGCTCAATATTCCATGTAATGGCAGGATTCTGTGTTAGCAATGCAGAAACTCTGGAACTGAACAGCAGAGTGTTGGTTCATTGGTTCATTAGATGGTTATGACACACAATTACCAAGCATGTTAGCAACCAGACTTCACAAAAGATAAACCTGTTGCATTCGCATAAAGTACCAACACAATTAAGTGAACCCTAAACTGTCAATATAATAAAACATATAAAAAGTTCTTAATGGTGACATATGCAACATTTTGTTAAATGAAAATGTGACTCAACATTCATGACATGACAAATGCAAATTTTATTTACAATATTCCATAAAGACCGCAAAGGGATATTTCCCAAATGTGACCTGACTACTGAAGCTCTGAAAAACATTTTCGTTTTTCCTCTGAAGTAATTCAATGATCATAACCCTAACTCACTGGCCTTAATGTTCACTCCTGGTGATATTTTTGATTACCCCACTACAAGACTGGAGTAATTACAAACTTCTATTATTTTTCTCAAAATTAAGTTAACTGTAACTCAAATTACTGTGGGAACACAAATTTTAGCCTCCCATGCAAATATGCTGTCAGGTTTTATGACAATGTAGTAATAGCGACATCATACAATATTTATTTTTTTAGACACAAGAGAGTCACTGTTTCACGAAATGCAAACATACAAAACCCACTCTTTCTGTACAGGATTCTCACAAACTTCCTTGTGCCATTTGTGTTATATATGAATTCTTTAATGTGGCTGCAAAATATATGATCACATGACAAATGATACTGACTGCTAATTATCTGACTGTTCAGTTTTCAGTTCTAAGCAAGTTACATATATTAAATTAAATATATATGTTACATTACTATTTCTTCATGCACTCTTAAGTACAAAACTGAACTGTGACTTTTACGACATTATGTCCTTGTTTAAAAAAAATTATATTAGTCAAACTATGCAGCCTAAATGTAAAAAAGAACTGTTTACTTACAGTGACGAATCATTCCTATTCTATTGCTATCATCCTTACATGCTACTCAATGAAATACTAGAAGCATTAAATAAACAAAAAGTTGTAGGTGGAGTTTTCTGTGACCTGAAGAAGGCGTTTGATAGTGTGAATCACGAAATATTGTTGAGTAAACTACAATATTATGGGATACAGGGTAGATTTTATGATTTAATTGCATCATACTTATCAGATCGACATCAGAGAGTACTAATAACAGATACTGAAATGAGCAACACTATTAGATCAGATTGGGATATTGTCAGGCAGGGAGTCCCTCAAGGGTCCATACTTGGTCCGCTTCTATTTCTTTTCTATATAAATGATCTTTCTACAATTTTTAATAGCACAGTTAAACCAGTCTTATTCGCAGATGACACTAGTTTGGTGATTAGTAGCAATAATAACTTACAATATAATAGGGATGTGAATATCTCTTTTGACTGCCTTAATGAGTGGTTCAAGTCAAACCTGCTAACCCTAAACTTCAGTAAAACTAAACATGTACAATTTGCGGCTAAGTCTCGCCCTAATACCGGAGTTATGGTTAATTATTGCAATAATGTGATCCCAAACAGTACCGAGGTGAAGTTCTTGGGTATAATTGTTGAAAGCACGTGTACTTGGAAGGCCCATATATCCCAACTCATACCTAAGTTGTGTAAGGCGTGTTATTCAATGAGGGTTATTAAACCCATCATGCCTACCGAAACATTAAAAATGATTTACTATTGTTATTTTCATTCACTTTTAACCTATGGAATTATCTTTTGGGGCAATACCTCGTTTAGTGTACAAATTTTTAGAATTCAAAAAAGAATAATTAGAATTATGAGTGGGCTAAGAGCAAGGGATTCCTGTAGACAAGCATTTAGGGATTGGGGGATTTTGCCACTCCAGTCCCAATATATATTTTCTTTATTGATATTTGTTGTAAATAATAAGGGTCTATTCCATACATCAACACAGATTCATGGTCTCAATACAAGGCACAGTTTAGATTTATATTGCCCTCAGACAAATTTAACAGTTCATCAGAAGGGTCCTTATTGCTATGGAATTAAACTTTTTAATTGTCTCCCATTAAAAATAAAGGAAGTAGTACATGATAATAAGGTATTTAGAGTGGCCTTAAACGCCTTTTTACATTCAAAATCCTTTTATACTTTGGATGAATATTTTGGTTGTATAAATGAGTAGTAATTTACTATGTTCATTCAATATTGCTTGCATTGTTTGGATGTGCAGTTGTACATTCAAGGATATTGCACTGATACCTGCATTGTATATAGCAAGATTATACCTTGACTGGTTTTATTTGGTATTTGAACATGTAAGATATAATCTCCAACTTGACTGGTATGCCATGTAACGAACATACCTCATTATAGTTGATGGATGTTGTGATCTTTTATGGTTTGAGATATATAAGTTGCTAAGTTGAATGAATTTATAATGTAATGTGTTTTTATTACAATTTTAACTTATTTTATTTACAATTAAACATGGTATAGTGTTATGTATATTTTAGGTTGATGTATATTTTATGTTGACTAGTTCCATTGTTGGAGCATTTGTTGAAGATATTTGACTTTTTCTGTGTCCAGTGGTGTTGGCCTGTAATTGGATTTGCTTGAATGCAATAAATACTATACTATACTATACTATTCTATAATATCACTTTCCAACATGGCCTACCCATTTATTCCAGAGTGGACAAAATGTTGTAAATTATGAAAATGGGCCATTATATGCAAATACAATGTAAGGCTGTACACTTAATTTAAAAACTTCGCAATTTGATCATCGCCATCACTTTAGTGACAGCATTAATTTAATGTGGCCCTTTTCCATAAGTTGAAGATTTTTGTACAAACCTCATAGGCTGAACAAATGCTCTTGTCATTTTTACATACAAGTTATGGGCTACAGATTAATATATGTAATTGAGCATTACCTTTAATTAGCCATTCACAGTGTGAGTCTTGGGTATAATTCGATCCTGATGGTCCATCTGTAATAATACCCCATGAACTACTGAACACTTTGCGGGATTTGTAGCAAGATGTTGGCTGAGGACCAGCACTCATTTCAGCAATCAAACACAACCACAGAATGTATGATAACGTCAACAAATAAAATGTTTGTCCAGGTTTTGACTTCATCCTTACACCTGCATCCATTGTGCTGGAATTTACTTCTTTTACAAATCTACATAACTGATTTTGTTCTCAGACGCCATCTGCATAACTCAAGATGTAATCTACATGTATTTCAAATTCGCCATTTGAAAATACTGCGAGTGGGCCTGAAAATACAGAAAAGTATTAAATAAAACACTGTTCTTACCTAACACACTCCATTTAACTCAGGTACTTTCTGACACCCCAATTTTATTTGATCGTTATGAATCGAAACACGACGACACTAAACCTTGCTACCATTAACCATTTTAAACAAAATAATTGGTATTCGAGGCAAGTTTTCTTTAACGCCAAGGTTATCACAGCATGTATTTCTCAGCCATGAAGGCATTCTGTCAAACAACATTACATCCCACATGAGACGAACGGATAAATCACTCAATTCCAGCACCTTTAATTATATGAACAGCAAGGAAAATGTTTCTCGATTCCATAGACTTGCATATAAATACATTCTAAACTATAATAACAATAAAATATACATTTGCCCATATTCGACTTGCTTTCGTTTCATCCATAAACGACTGAAGCCGAATTTTGACGTCAGTATCCGGGTGTCCGTGATGAGAAATTCGCTGGGTTCACTGGTTACTTCTCATATGCGATATGAAAAATTCCATCTCCGTGGGTACCACATTGACTATTGACAGTTTACTTTTCCATTGCTGTTTAATGACACGACGTGTACGAAGTTAAAACTATAATGTAATATTTTGCGTACATGATTTATCTCTATCTTCAGCGATCCGTAATATTCTCATACTAGTGAGCTAGTGAGCGTAGTGATGTAAGTTCACAAAGTCTAACACGGAAGTAATTCACTGTAAAAAGGGAGACCGGAGGTTATTCCACGTAAACAATGGGAATTTACTGAAGCTTTGAATTAGCTGTAGCGTGATCATCGTGATTCGTTGGTAATGCAGGGGTCGTCTTTTCAACGTGATTACCCCCCAGATAACTGAAGCACTGAATAGTATCCAGAAAATCTGGTTAAGATCATTAAGATAATCTCTTCATTGTAATTTGAAGACAGTAACAAAGCAGTTGCGCAGGGACTGTGGTAATGTAGCCACAAAACTCTTGAAAGAGAATCCTAAAATGTCACTTTTCCTATAATAATGACCGATGGTGACCTGATATTGTCTTCAGATTTATAGCATGTTTCCAGTTTTTAATAAGTAGATGTATTCGTGTCTTGTAGCTCTAAGTAGTTATAGCAGAATCACTGAAGAAAGGAATAGCCATAACATTCTGGTTGTACCTATGTATGTATGAGGGTTGGGCCATAAAAATTTGGCCCTTGCACGGCAACCATCAATGATCCATTGTGCTTCCCCTTTGATGAACCCTTTATTAATCCTACACTTAGAATGAAATGTAGTACTTTCCTTAGGGGGCATCATAGTACTGACTTGGTTCCATGAAAACTGGCCCAGATGACAAAATCTTAAATAATCTATGGCCTCACAATCACATAGGATGTGTGGGGCTGATTCATCTCCTAGGCACCTTTCACAAGTGGGGATCATCAACATTTTGGCTTACCCATTGTTGAACCTGTTTCAATATGTATGATTTTATAACAGATATGAAAAATGCCAGAGTAGGACATGTGGAAGTCATATGTTCTTGAAATGTGTGTATACTCCAGAGTGCAACTTCTTCAAATTATGCTATACGTATGACAGTCCTAAAATTGTAGTCTTAAGCCGCTTTCAGACAAGACACACGGTGGCTTGCGACTAGTGTCTGGGACACAGCCACTCAACGCCACAACACGCACACTTAGTGGCTCTGACATCAGAACCCCACGTTGATGTTGCCCTCAGTCATTCAGATGGAGGTATCAAAATGTTTATCCACCATTTCATCAAGGACGCTAGACTCTGTATGCCCTGTCTGAACGCTAGCATACAACTCAATGCACTTTGAGTGGCCAGACCACAAGTCAGTGTCTCGGCCACTGAAGGGGAAAGACAGCTGTGACACAGTGTCTTGGACATGGGACACTGAGACGCTTGCATGAACACTAGTATTCACACTAATGTATTTGCAGTCGCTGGACACTGTGTCCAGCCACCGTGTGTCTTGTCTGAAAGCGCCCTCAGGCTAATATGTTGTTACTCATAAATGTTTGTGCAGTCTTGCATGTATAACCTTTTCAAACACTTTTGAAAACGATGTCAGTAACGATATAGATCTGTAGTATGTATGTTTATATTTCTGAAATTCCATTTGCAGCTTGGGGTCTTCACCAGTGTTCTATTGCAGCAGTTCTAAATAACATCCAGGTGCTTGTGAAACAGGTGTTATGCCCAAATCAGTATATAAAGTGGACTAAAAATATGTGTAAGATGGTGTAAGCATAATTTTGTATTAGTCTGTTACCAGCCTGATGTAGTACCTCTACAAATAAAAACAAGCAATATCCTTCAGTTCTCAATTGCATTGCTTCAACTGCACGTCAGATGAATAATATAAGTGGCAGCATTCATGAATCCATACTCCTGAAAAATTAACCAAATCACTGGAAAATATAGAAAGCTTGAACTTCTGAGGCCAAACTGAAATAATGCGTTCAGGAACATGATGTCATGGTGGTCACACTGGTTTGGTTATGTTATAGTTTGTGTGAAAGAAAATGGCGTCTTTTCACCCCATTTTGTTGTGTACTGTCTAACTCTGCACAGTGCATTTGGTTGTATAGAGGCAACTTCAGTTTCCCACTGCTGATTCAGAGTATGACATTTCTCTTAGTTGGAAATTGTGGTCTTGTAACTAACAGAGCATTTTAATCGTCAAAGCTATGAGAATTAAACTGAAAGTAAACTGGTTAACTCATATATTTAAAATAAGCTTCAGCCAGTAAAATGACTGGGTTTTAATTCCTAGTAGGAGCAGGAAGCTTTCTTTTTCCAATCACTTTCAGGACAGCTCTGGGGACTTCATCCTATCCAGTTAGTACTGAATGTTTTTTTTTCCCCAAGAAGTTTAGAAGCCAGAGCATGAATGTGATCACATTCCTCCATATAATGCTGAAGCCTAAAATGTGTGGAACTTCACCTCTGCATTCCATATACACTTGAGCAAAGAGGAAACTTCACCTTTTCATATTTGTTCAGCAAGAGACATGAGTTTGCATCTTGCCCAGAAAAGAATTTACTCAAATAGTTCTGCCTGATGGACACAGCTGTCCTGAATGTGATGTGAAAGAGAATGTTTCCAGAAAAGGAGAGGAATAAATTGGAAAAGACTAAAGAAGGTTACCATGGCATTTACATAATTCTGCCACAACACTCACCTGATTTAAACTAGGACCACTAATGACTGACAGTTCGAAGAGTCACTTGCATACAATTCAGGTGTATTACATTGAGAATTAAATTCCTTAAATTCTTAATGCCAAATCTTTGAAAGGACAGTGAAGGCTGGCTATTATTTACTTATCATTTATTTAATGACACTGTGAGTGACTTAGACATGACTGTTTCCTTTTATGACACTATAATCTGAAGTACTGACAGCATCATTGTAAGTAAATAAATAAATAAACATATTACAGTAAAAATTCAGTTTCAATTTGCTTTTAAATTTATGTATTGTTAATACATACACAGTGAAAACATTTGAAAATGTTCTGTTACAACATGCTTTGTATGAGATACTGTATTTGTATTGACATCTTATATTCAATACAGTATCTTGCAGCCCCTTGGTTTATCCTGTGGAACCTTCAGTGGGCAGTAACTTCTTTATTTCATAATTTATTAACAAGACCCAGTGGTCTCAGAATAAGAAAATGGGTTCTTGCTTAGAGGGTTCACATAGTCAGATCTATGTGCTCACCTTCATCTCTACAAAAGATAATACTTTTGGGAATGGAAATACCATTAGAAACTCAAGCCTAGGTAGACAGAGGCCAAAAGGTCAATGCAGACCACAGTTCGAAGCACTATACACATAACACTACACTAGTGACATTGTCAACTGCATAGGTTATATATTAGTATATAAAAAAAAGCAGACTAAGAATTATGATATTTGGAGATTTTGAAGGAAACATAGCTGTTGTCCAAACATTTGCTTCAAGAGACTGTGGACCACCCCCCTAGCTATTATCCAAACATTTGCCTGGAGGGACTGTGCGCCCCCCCCCCAAAAGAGTAAGGACATAAAATGCTTCAGAATTCTATTTCAACATCAGAAATGCTTGTAATGATATTGAATCATTTAGGACTTTTTGAAACTGTTCAAGAACCTAATAAAATTAAGCCTTAAACAGTGCATACTGCATGTAGCTGTCATGGGTATTGCACATTTCATTTTTTTTTTTCATAACCAACTCAAATGTCTCTCAAAATATTTTGCAATGGACAGAGTGCCAGTTCTTCTGTAGCTCTGAATAAACTTAAGTATTTTTATGCTATCACAAGAAGTTATGCAATATCAATACATTGAATCCATACTGACATCAAATATTTTTCCTCAATGTCACCATATTGTACTGGTTTATCAGTATCAAGTGATGTATCTAACATAACTTACGATCACTATCCTCCTGTGTATATTTTAGCATGACACCATACATATACTGATCTGCTAACTGCCTGCTGGGAATTTACCTAGTTAACAGCAGGCCAGCAATTTACAGCTACTTGCCTGCAATATATTCATGTTCAGTCCACGGGCATTCTGAATGAAGATAATGCGGTTACTATATGTGAAACTGAAGGAAGTTACAGTAGAAAAGGGCACAGACATTGTTAGTGAACTTTTCTTTACTAATACTTGAATTATGCATCAGTTACAGTTTTGCTATACAATATTTTCTTCTATAAGAGGTCTATCCATTATAAGTCTATCAAAACTCATTCGTGTTAAATCAATGGTCTCAAAACCTCCATCCAAAATCATTTCCATGACACCCCTGCCAACAGCTGGTGCATGTTGTATTCCTGCAACATGAAAGTACAGGAAATTCCAATATTACTTAATGGTCAATTTGTATGGGAAATATATCAAAAGAAGCATTCTGTTTGGCTGGTGTTCAAAATCACTGTACCCAGGAGAAATATCAGCTGGGAAGTTTAATCTGGAAGGCTAAAACACTTCCAAACTTTATATTTTACAAAAATCTGCATTTACTGTACTCTTTGGTTTGAGAAATGAAGAATGAAGCAAGCAAGAAACCAGCATGTAAATCTTGCTGCCTACTTCATGTTGGTTTCTTACTTGGTTACTCTTCAACATGTTCCTCCGAAACATGGACTACATGTCATTGTATCTCAAGATATAGAATCTTGCAGAAGAACTGAAGAACACAAGAGTAAGCTGAGGTGGAAGAATATCAGTTCTGGGAAGACACCAGATATAAGTGGAGTAGTAGGAATGGGTGGATGATGGAGTAGAAGAAGACAAAGATGATGATGACAACAGTGATAACAAAAACGAAGCTTAGATCTCATGTAATTATGTTGTGCTGGAAATCTGTATCTGTAGCCATACTGTCTTGTTCCCAGTGCCCTTTACTGGGACCTACTGGATGCATCTGTATCTATGCAGATATGTGCACTTACCATGGCCACTGAAGCCTGTTGCAATGTACATGTTTATATAGTAGGGATGAGGACCAACAATTCCATTCTCATCATATGTGTTGTATTCATAGTAACCACCCCATGCATTTTTCACCTGTAAAGAAAAGAAAATTGTTGACTGGTATCAGAGGTGAAGGTGAAAAAAGCATCTGTTCCAAGTGCAGCCTAGTAGGCATGGAATACTCTAAGAACAAAATTAGTGTGTGAGGAGATCTGATGTTGTCATCGTGATGACTAAGATGAATACTACGGCACGTAAAAGAACCTCATGTCCCAAGGGGACCACTGAGCCAAATTGATCGGACATTTCCCGCCCAACAGTAGTCTCTAACACCTCTGATAGATGGGGGAAGCATCGAGAGATACCACTGAGCCAGTAGAGGCCAAACTCGCTGGCTCAGTCGGGACTGGTGGCACACACCAGTATCGGTAGGGTATAGAGACTGGTAGAATATCACAGAGGGGACATACAATAGACCACTGGTCACGGTGCATGGGGAAACCCACCCCTCCGATGATGATGATGATGATGATGATGATGATGATGATGATGATGATGATAAAGATGAATACTACCTTCTATGATGCCTTGTAATATAGTTAAAAGTTTACTGAAATTTGGGAGCACCAATGCTTGCCGCTTGCTTGGCTTACCCTTCAACTGTGAAAACAGAGGCAGTCTATTCATCAAAAATGTCACATCCCAGAAGAGTGTAACTCTTCAAAATTAATACAAATTGACATGGAATTGTTATCTTAAAACAAAACCCCAATGGTTGCTATTTATAGTTACATTATCTATGTACACCTGTGTAACACACTGGGAAACAATGAACAAGTTTTAATAAATGTAAGACTTAGGTTCTGAAACTGATCTGAATCATGACTGTACTGCTGTATGATGTCACATGGTATACTTCAGTAATCTGGCTACCCTGAAGATGAGGAAGCAGGTTCCTCTGAAATGCTGGTACCATTTTACCAAATTACATGGCATCACATCTTGATTTGTAATACAGTGCGTACAATCAAGTGCGCGCCGCAGCTGCAATTTGCCGTGAGTCATACCACCGCAGAACGGATGCAGTCGCGGGGAGGAGTTGGAACACTCCCCGCGACTGCATCCGTTCTGCGGTGGTATGACTCACGGCAAATTGCAGCCGCGGCGCGCACTTGATTGTACGCACTGTAGAATTGAAAGCATTACTTATAAATTAACTGAAGAGCTGAACTTAGTTTCTTAATATACACTCTCCTTAACAACAAACTGTCACACCTCATACACACAATGACTGATCTCTTAAAGGTGATCTGTTAGTTGGCATTAAAATAAGCAGAAACATGGATGCTGCAAGATTTTTCATATTCATACGTATAACAAAGGTAAAGGTAAAGTTGTTCCTGTGCTTAATTAATTAAGCACTATGCCATGAAAACATATGGGGAAGTGGAGGTATAGCTCCACCATTCTGGACCCTGGCACTATATGGAGGTGAGCGGGCAGCATCATGCCTCAGCCACTTTACCACCAGGGAATGAGTCCCTGATACGCATCGGATAGGAGGCTGGGTGGACCCCAGTGCTGGTCTGGATGTTTTGGAATAGAGAAAAATCTGTTGCCCCTGCTGGGAATCGAACCCCAGCCAGCCAGCCTGTAGTCCATCACTATACTGACTGAGCTATCCTTGCTCATTCATCATACATGTACATAATCAATAATATCAGGGACAGGTGCGACCACCTCTGTGGTCTAGTGGTCAGAGTTCCTGGCTACAGATCTGGAGGTCCCGGGTCGATTCCTGGTGCTGCCAGATTTTCTGAGTAGTAGTGGGTCTGGAATGGGGTCCACTCAGCCTCGTGGGGATAACTGAGGAGCTATTTCAAAGAAATAGCAGCTCCGGTCCAGAAAACAGAGATTAATGGCCGTGGGATCTGCTGCACTGACCACATGACACCCTCTATCCGCAAAAGTTGGCACTAACTTCACCGACAAACGGCGGTCACTTGGTCGGTATAGTTCGCTTGCAGGCTACAGAGTTTTTATTATTATTATTATTATTATTATTATTATTATTAAGGACAGGTGTTCTATCAGCATCTTTGTCTCTCCTGCCAATGCTCATTCCACCAACTGCATCAGATCCATTAATAATCTGACACTATAGAGCCTTGATATGGGCAATGATAAAAACAGTAAAGCTATCCCTGTAACAGGCTGTGAAGGCCCATGGGGTTGTGAGATGTCAAGGATCCCACATTCTCTCTATACAACTGGCTCACAGATGGCAGTAAGGTTGTCAGCCTTATGCATCAGCTGCCCTTTAGCCCCCAGGAAGATTCCTGGTACTCATTTCTGTTAGAGGTGTCGACCCCAGGGTCACAGTGCTACTGGAAGGATTAGATCAATTGAAAAAATCCACCTAATTTGGACTCAAACTTTCAACCTTCTGGCTTGTAGCACAGTGCCTCAACCAACTACACTACTGTGTGCCCCTGTATACCATTTTAACTTTTCTATATTGACATTTTTAGCATTGCAATCAAACTGTCTATAATTTATGTACAGTTCCTTTGCTGCTGCATTTTCCCAATACTCAGAACCTATAACATACCTTAACTGCTTCAAATGCAGGCACACGTGATGCAAGGACTGGCCAGATATTTTTATCAAAGAAGTCATGATCTACATCCAGGTTGTCTACACTAGGTTCTTCTTCAGGAAGAGGAGATCTGCCACATATGTAGTTGCCTGCAAGACCTTCTCGTCTGTAAACCATATCACAGTATAACATAGCAGGAAGTTCTAGACAGAATCAGTGGGCCTACCTTCTTTAGAGGGAGGCTTACAGACATTACAGATTAAAAATCATGGAACTTATTTATCATTTCTGCGCATATTATGTGAGAATAGACTTCCACTACCTCAGAGCTGTAAGCCATAATTGTGAATTTCAAACGATCATCATGTTTCTAAAATTTAAGAAAGTTCTTCATACAACATTTATGAGTACAAATATATTTATGACTAATCACCATACCAAATACCATATGCATAATTGCAAAGGTCATCAGTTACTGTTCTGAAACATAATACTAAATATGAATTTTGCACAGAAGGCAAGTTATTTCACTTGCTGCAAAAGAAAAGACCTATCACAATATAAACTTCCAGTACTCTTCATTAAATTGACTAGTAGCTGAATTTCATATGGCAGATTCAGTGATGATGATGACAAATTCCAAATGTTGTTCCCTTATAAATAAAAAGAAAGTGTATATGAAATTTTCTATGCATAATTAAGCACCACCACATAGATATGAGTGGAGAAGTTCAAGCCCCAGGACCTCTGGTACTGACTGGATAGGAGGCTGAGCAGGCCAAATAACTGGTATGGATACGGTGAATAGAAAAGTCTCTGCCACAAATCACACACCTTAATCCCCCAGCTGTCCAGCCCCTAAACTAGCCATTATATTGACTGACCTGCCCTAGCTCTCCCCATGTAATAATCAGTAAATTTAGAATAAAGTCAATGAAAATCAAGATTCCTCCAGTACCTACAATTAGACAGAATACTATGTTATCCTCAGAGCTGTTCTGAAGGTGTTGGTAAACAAAAATATTAAAGGACTAGACACAGGGTTCAGATTGATACAGAATTTACTGGGTACTAATTACTCTTAATCTCAGATAATTACAACACTTTACTATTCTTCACAATTTAAAAATAACTACAGCACATTCTAAGTCTTTCCAGTCCACTATATCTGGATGTACTCATTGCTTTGTTATGGCCTCTAATACTGGGGATTCCCCTTACTGTTTTTGTGCTTGATGGCTCTACTTTGACAGCTTCGGTTTCTGGTCCCACTGGCTTTCTTTGTGTAGCTCCAATTCAGACTGATTGTTGTGTCTGTATTTTATGTGATAGAAACTTCTTTCAACTTAGCTGTTCCATAGCAATGGATGCCTCTGTGACACTTGGCTGTCTCCAAAATTCTGATATTTAGGCGTTATGTCACAATATGGTAAAGAGAATACACACCTAAAATATGTTCCTGATGGATCTATTGTTAATGGAGTGTTGAGACCTGGTCCATTCTTGCAGTTAATACAGAACACATATCGTTTCCTGTAAAAAGAAAAAGGGGCATTAAATATGGCTGAATGAAATTTCACATTTGATTTACAGGGTTCTTAGCATACATACACCCCTATGTACTAAGAATGACAAAATATAAACACGTGTGTCATTTTAAGAAATTAAAAGCTCAAAGATATTCAGTTGTGTGTACAAACTGTTATTTTAAACCTTTCAAGTAAAAAATGTTTCAAACAAACGTTAGAAAGAAAAATGAAATACGTATTTTACATTGGTTAACTGATGGTAAATGCTTAGGAAATAAATCACTACATCCTTTCAGCTGCAACACACATTCTAAAATGGAAATAATTCACAAAGCGTACAAACCTTCTACGATCACGAGTTGTATTACACCTGTGGCCGCACTACATTTCTATTAACATTAAATTAATTAGAATAAATGCCAGACTTGCCATTCTGTACCTTGGTTCCACGGGCAATGGAATGCTTAGCATGCCATCACCAGTACCAATTCTGGCCATTCTCGCAACTTTTGCAGAGTAGGGTCCTGCTGCAATGATTACAATTCCAAATTTAACAGAGCGTATTTCTCCACTTTCAGTCCTCACCTGGAACAGTATCATCACAGACAATATTATTCTTTTTGCTTCAAAGCCCTGCCATGCTAGAAATACAAAGGCTGCTTAGAGTACAGGCAGTTGCACAGAAAAAAGCCACTTTCTCAAACAGGAACAAATATTTCATGTAAAAATCTGTTTCTTACTGTAAACATCAGTATGTCACAACTGGAGCCATCTAATGATGAAAATGTTTCATTACTTGACTAACAATGAGTCAGCTTCTTTGGCTGTGGTGAGTTTAAGAGAAGGATCCTGAGCCAATCTAGTTGGTAGATGGTGTTCAAAGGAATAGAGCTACAGATACAGTTCTCCCAAGTATCACACAACCAATAGACAGTAACAGATTTCAAACACATTCTTATTCTTCTACTTCTTGCAGTCACTAATACCGCATGGTAGCAATATGAATGTCTGAGGTGGATGTAACATTCAGCTCATTTAACAAGCAGGCTTGTGTAGTGGTAATGGTCTAGACTTGTAGACCGGAAATTCTTGGTTTGAATCTTGGTTAGGATATCAGCTAAATCAACTTGCGTTTTTCATTGTTTTCTTCAGTATCTTGAGGCATATATCAGGGTAGTATCTTGATTAGATTTAACCACTTTGTTCCAAACCCTTCCAAATTCATTATTCACCAGTAGTCCTACCATTCAATGCTATATATTAAAAAATATTGACTGTGTTATAAAATAAACCACTGATAACAATGAAGACCTCAAATGTCATTTACGTTTCACAGCTATTAAGCTAAATTCCTTAGAGGCCTCCGTAGTCTAGAGGTAATGTTCCCACCTCATGACTTGTAGTACGCTGGTTAAAATACCCGGCGGAGGTCGTCGAATTTTTAAGGGCGGAAAAATTCAGGGAACAAGTCCTCCGGTAGGGACTTAGCTTTATGGCACATAAAAGAACCTCATACCTCCAAAGGAGGTCACTGAGCCAAAATTGCGGACGTTTGCCGTCCAACAGCAGTCACTAATACCTCTGGTAGATGGGGGAAGCACTATAGATACTTCTCAGCCAGTAGAGCCGGTCTCGCTGGCTGGGTGGGACTGATGGTAAGCACCAATACCGGTAGGATATAGAGACTGGTAGAAACCATAGAGGGAAGCACAATGGACTACTACAGGTCTAAGTGCATGGGGAAACCCACCCTCTCTAATAACTAACTAACTAACTAAGCTAAATTCCTTCCCCTGACATGTTTATAAAGTCTGTAAACTGCATTTTGTGTTTCACTGATTTAGGCAATGCACTAAGAAATGTAGTAACTGTGAATACCAACCAAAACTTTGTCAACTCCTTCATAGCTGCCAGGTTCCATTCCATCCATCAATAAATCTGGCATCTTTTTGAATTCAAAACCAATTGCTTCTCCATCAATATACTCAACTCCTAGGGATAATGCTTTTCTCTTGAAAGCATACAACAAGGACCAAGGATCAAACCTGCATGAGATATAAACAGGATTAGTTACACTGAGTACATAACAAATGATGAATCAAACTTACCTCATAACTTGAGACCATTATTTTACATCTCTCAACTGGTGTTTTCATAATTCTACTGTCATAGCCTTCATTATCTCCATCTGCGGTGTTTATTTCCTGACAATATCATCACTGTCAGTTACTTCAGTATGTTTTTATCGTCTGAAGCACAATGCCAACTACACACTGAATTGAACTGAATTGAATACATCAATAATATAATTAGAATTATGTTGGGACGCAGAAGGAGGGATTCGTACAGGAAATTATTTAGAGAATTAGAAATCTTACCTCTGGCATCTCAGTACATACTATCTCTTATGCTCTTTGTAATAAAAAATAGAAACAAATTCATAGTAAATTCAGAGATTCATAGAATAAATACCAGACAGCAAAATAATCTCCATCAGCCTCTTGTAAATTTGAGTAAATACCAAAAGGGAGTTTACTGTTTATGAACAAAGGTCTATAATAATGTACCACAATATATTAAGGATATAGCAAGTGACACTAAGAGTTTTGAGGTACAATTACAACAATGTTTATATTTACATTCTTTTTATTCTTTACAGGAATATTTTGGTTATAAATCTTTTTAAGGTGCAAGTAGTTGTCTTGCTTTACAATTTAAAAGAAGACAAGGTTGTCAGTCTGTGTTCTGGTTTTTAGATGCTTAGTTTAGATATACACAATCTTTGTATTACTGTATACTAGTCTTTATTTCAATTTATTATATAATTAATGTATGTTATACAAAACTCATTAATGACATTATGTTTCAACTATTGAATTTTTAGTTAATAGACTTGCATAAAACTGTACAAATTGTATAAGGTTTGCCATTACTTTTACTACTAAAATTAACTTATTTATTATACTGTATATGTTTATCAGTATTTTATACAAATGTGCATGCTATTGGATGACAACTGTAATCCTTAGTTCTAACTGTCACAAGGACGATCTCCACATCCGCAGGAGAATGTACTCTCGACAGGATTTATGGAAGGTGAATAAATAAAATAACATTAAAAAACCCTGCATTTTGCCCATTCAGTACATTTATGAGTGCCACATCAGTCTCACAAAATAGAGTGATTATTATACAGCAATGTTACAAAAACTGCAGGGGTTATGGTCCTTGGAAGAGGGAACGGGGACTGTGGTTGACAAAACTGTGGTTGGCAAGACCAAGGTCTTGTCAGAAACCAGGAGTTAGGGGATCTGTGGCCCATGTTAATATTCATTGCATCCCAAGTATATACAAAATTTCAGTAAAAACCTAACAGGAATAAACCACTTCAGAGATCTAGTTCCAGATCAGAGGATAGCATTAAAGTTAATCTTATATATAGAGGGTCTCAGAATGTGAACTGGATTCAGTTAATCATTACAGATGGCACCCAGAAAATGCAGAAGCCACTTGAATCCATGGTTAAGAAGGGACTGCTGTATAATTCTTTCATAAAATCATTCAAAAGGGTGATTTTTAATGAGCTAACACCATGGTAGTGGAACACAAAAGCTCAACACCACCAATATCAAAGCTTGCTGCTGGACACAATCCTTAATTAGCGCTGCCACCTCTCACTTCACAACCTATATTCCTAAGTTCAATCTTACCATCTCCTTCTCAGTCTTCAAGTGGATATTTCCCCAGAGATTTCTACACCAGAATTCTATGTATGCTCTCCTAGTCACATAAATAGCCCATCATCACCTTCAGTTACATCAATTGTGGTTCACTTCTTCATATCTGTTTACAAACTGAATCTCTTCTATAATGTCACACTGTGTAGTCTGGTAGAAGTTCACTTGACTATACACAGCCCAGAAGACAGTCATCACTGTAAAAACCTCAAAAGCAACATAGTTTGAAGTGAACTTCATGTCAATTAGGTACAGTCTCATGTGCAACACTATGTTCTACAAAATCCATTAACTTTAAAAGTATAAAAGCAACAGCATAAGATAGCAGTTTCCTCACCAAAAATGTTAACACCTGATGATGACCACATTGGTCGAAACATGTAGTGATGGGTTTTTCTAAACTTTTCAAGTTAATAAATTTTATAGAATATAGTGTTGCATGTGAGACTGTAACTAATCGACACTCAGTGAAAAGTGCAACAGGATCCTACAATATAATATTACAGTGAACTTCTACTAGACTACATGATATGATATCACATCGCAGAGCTGAGTATTCTTCACGGTCACCATCCTGACAACCTCAAATCTGATAATTAATAAATTCTCACGACACAAGCACTAGAAAAACAAAAACTGTATATATGATTACCATCCTTCATTTTCCAGACCATGACAACCTAAGGCAATACCATCAGTGTTGATCCAAGGAAATTTCTGTTTCAATTTGACTGGGGTTAGAAGTTCATTTTTGGCTCCAAGTTTCCTGAAAAATAAAAATTAAACATAAACAGGTTAACAGTTTTAGTTGAAATAGCATCTGAAACTTGAAAACTGATATTATTCAGAGTGGTTAACAATATTTATTGCATGGGTGCCAAATTTAAAAGTTCAGAACTCTGTCCATGCCATATGCTAAATTAAATGTGATCAATAAATTTGTATTATATTTAAGAAGTGTTTTATGTCATACTTTCAGTTCAATTAATAAAAACCAACAACAAAAGTTACTGGTATTAATATAAGAACTGTGGTACTATTTTTACATTTTTAATTCTGTGGATGGGGAAGATACTGTGATTCTGTGTAAATATTGCTGTTGTTAGTTTTTCAATTGTAAAATTCGGCCATGGGTAATATGTAGACAGCATACTGCAGGTTGCTACTGTACACAATGCAGTGACGGCTGACACTGATTAATCCTATCCCTTTTCTTATTTGGATGATTATAAATGACCGTGAACTTTATTTACAATTGATTCTCATTAATTTTAAATTCAAAATCTTAACGTCCGTCAATACTGCAACACTCTTCCATTCACAACTCAATTTTAGTTTAACATTACACACCTTGACACTGCATGTTTCGGTCCCAAATGGCCATTTTCAGGTGTCTTGATATGTAACAAATATTTTATTAAATTATGTTAAAACTGCTACACTGTCTTAGTCCGTGTTAAAATCACACGCTGTAGTCCTCCTTGCAAGGTAAAACCAGATAAAATCCTTTTAAAGTTTCTATTATACCCACATTATTTTGGTGCATATTATTTCACCTCACACGGGGTGTCATCCATTTTCATAAATATATGCCTGTCCAGGGTGTTTTGTCTCGGCAACTTGCCCCTCACGTTCATAGCCTACTTTTCAGTTATGCACCAAAATAATTAACACAACATTTCAGAACGTATTCCTGTTATCTCCCATTGGCAAAGCTTGATCTCAGTGTTAATATTGCTATAGTTATATTGACACAGGTTGTCCAGTAACTGAGGTTAGCTCTTTCTAGTGGACCCAACAGAGTAGGTGACCCCCCACCCCTCACCTCAGGATGGAAACAGATCCAGTTTCCAAAATGTTGTCTTCTTTTGTGTTTTTTAGGATACCAGGCAATGGACAAAGTCCAGAATCCCGGTAATCCTGAGCATCAAGAATGGGGTTTCATGGTCTTGTTCAATACCACCAGGTGACTTCCAGAGCAATGTCCTTAACAAGGCAACAGCTACTTCTTCCTAAAAATTATCTATATTTGTCACATGTCATAAAATCATCACATAAACCTCAGATAATAAAAAAATAATCAAACAATAGCATAATGGCATTTAAATTTATTAAACAACAGTTCTTACTTTTGAAGTTTTGCGTTTTCTTCTAATTGCTGTGCCCCTTTCTCAGATGCAAGGAACAAATAACCACATGGTGTGAACTGTACATCTGGTGGATCATGTCCTTCAACTGACAGATGTTGATTGATGTTACGCAGGAATTCTGCACCAAACAGCGACATCTTGATATTTTCCTCTAATGAAAACTGTTGCCTGAGGCCACCAACTGAGAGACATGTTGATGCTTCAGCATACTATAGTAAGAAAACATGGTATTAATTCTACACAGACAAACACAGCAAACAGATCTACTGTGGAAATCTGAAGCAAAAAGGAACAAGAAAGTAGTAGTTTTGGTTAGTGTAACATGCTTCATCAAGACAAAACTGACACATTTATATACTCAACTCCAGACTATTCAGTATGAGAAAATAAAATGGAACAAAAAAGTTATTATTGCATAAAATTTTTAAATAAAATACAAAAGATAGTGAAATAAGAACAATTTACAAGCGTGCAAATTATATTTCACAAATAGTAACCATATTAAAATCTACTTTTCATGCTTTAAATTTGGATTTTGTTTACCTGACCCCATGATAAAATATTTTGATTTACCGAAGGATCTTTTTCGATGACGGTAACTGTAATTGCATTTGGTGCTCTCTGCTTCAGCCAATAGGCAATAGAAGAGCCCATTGCACCTCCACCAATGATGACAATATCACAGTGCTCCGGGAATATACCATCTCGATATGGGGATTTTAAAATTTTATTTGATAATTCACGTATACCCTGCATTCTTTCAACGAAAGACTCTACTTTGTTTTTTGCAGTTTTCATGTCATTTCCCAGAATCCTAAATGTCCGTTTAATAGGGTGTTCTGGCTTTGGAGGTTCATCTGAGGAATAAGAACTTTCACATCTATTTATAAAAACATATGCACTTTTGTTTAAATTTACAAATTTGTCGTTAATAAATTTGCGAAGCTTGAATGTATTCACAGTCTTAATCATATTGCTAGTGAACAGCTGCTGAAAAAGATGTTATCACAATAAAAAATGCTCTGTTCAACTACATAACATGCACATTAATCGTACAAGAGTCATGGCTTTTTATGGTAGATAATTTTGGGCAAAGTTCAGCTACTTCATTAACTGATAGCCTCTTGTATGCTTTTATCTTAGATCACAAACATTAAACACCGGCTGGTTATCTATATGAGGTAGAACACATATAAAACATTTCAAAGTTGTTTATATTTTCTTTCACATATCACATTTTCTTCACCACAACGATCCCTACCGATCCCTACTCCCACTTCGTGTAACCACTAATCAGGAAAAAGCAGTCAGCTCAACGCACGTAGCGGCACGAAATATACCACCTATACGATCTACGATCAACATCCGTCTTATATACACAACATTGATATCCTTGATATCTGTGGCATTCAATTAACACGCGCGTGCTCTAGCAGTGATCTCTCTTGGAGAACCTACACAATATCATTGAACGTCACTGACTTCGACTGCTAAATCATCTGTCACGATATATTAAAGAAATGCCGGTGCTGTATAAGTTCAAAAATGCTCTGAAAACTTACCTACGCGATCATTGTTTTTATAAAGTGGATGAGTTTCTCTCGTGTGAGACAACCACTAAGCAATTATAATCACATAATTAATGAATAATCGGTTTTGGGAATCCCTACTGCGCAGTTTTCGTTTCTTTTTTCCCGCAACCAAGATAACACAGTCGGAGACGTCGGAGATGCACCTGAATGGGCTACTCTGGAGAGCTCGCAGATACCAAGAAGCTGCACCAGGAAGGGAGAGCAGATGTAATGAGATGTTGCGGTGTAGAGTCTACAGTGAAACGATATACCAGTGCTATCACTAAATTCACCAATTTTATCTCAAAGGCCGCGCCATTGCTTAATCGGTTAGTCGCTGGGGCAGGTTTTCCCCGAGCACTTCGGTTTCCCCTGCCAATCCTCATTCCATCAAATTCTCCATAAGCATTATCACCAATACAGGTACAATAGGACATATGGAAGCCGACGTGCCGAGGGGGCCTAATATGGATTCCACCTCACACTATATGAAATAAACTATTGTAATTACTGTAATCTATTGTAAACAATTGTAAGTATTGTAACCTTATTCTCTTATTGTAATCAGCCAATGTACAGTAACTGACTTGTCCTATATCATGTAACAATCATCTATAGATACGAAATAAATAAATAAACAAACCATCACTCATGCAGCACGCGATTGCTGACGGGTTAACCGCTGGATGTGGGAGGTTGTACACGGTATTTTTTTTTTGTAGGAAATCAGAATTAAATAAAAATAAGGAAATGTGTCAAATATTAACAATACAAATTATATCTGTTTTAAAAAATATTCTATCCTGCAGCTCCATCGGTATAGCGACTGGCTACGGGCTAGGTGTCCAAGGGGTTGGAGCTCGAGTCCAGGTATGGTTAAGAATTTTCTCTTCTCCTTGTCGTCCAGACCGGCTCTGGGGTCCATCCATCCTATCCAATGGGTACCAGGGGTAAAGCGGATGGGGCGTGAAGCTGACCACTCACCTCAAACAAGTGCCAAGGTAAAGAAAATATGGATTATACATCTATTCCCCCCATTCACCTTCATGGTGTAATGTTTAATTAATTAAAATAGACGTTAATGGCTTAAACTTGAGTTTGTGCACCAATATTTAGGCGATTTAGACTCCAGCCCTGCAAAACTGTATGTTCATGTACATCATAGTACTGACCAGCACTGACAAAATCCCAGCCATATAACTTGCTCTAGTGGTTATTTAATGGTGCTATCAGTATTGATACTATATAGTGTCGGTTGAAGAATCCATAGAGTATGAATATTTATCAAATGTATTCTTTTTGCATTTTTTTCCCGTCATTCGACGTTCATTTGGTGTAGTTATACACATAGTGTTGACAAAGCTTATTAACAATATAGATACTGTAATGTACATAGTAATAAATTATTTTTATTGTGTCACTAAATATTACACAACATTACACAATGCCACAAACTGAAGAGTAATAACACTATGCAGGTTGTTGGAAGTCAATCGACGTTTTGGAAAAACCGCCATGTAGCGTGTTGAAATTCAACCGATGTTTCGGAGGAACATGCCCCCTCCACCTTCAGGGTCAAAGAATATGCCATAACACTACTTTGAGAACCTCAAATCCTACACATTGTTTACCAGTTACTGATGTTTACATTTCATGACATTCTACAAATTCTTTATACAAGCCTTTTTTAAGAACTTATGAAGCTGGAATTGAAATATCAATGAAAATTAAATTCCCTGCATAACATTGTCAATTCCAATAACAAATGTTTGAAATCTAAAAGTATCTGAAACATACTTGAAACCCCAATGACCATAGATGATGAAATAAAATTACCAAAGGTGAAAGAAACTAAATTTCTAGGACTAATTATTGATGATACCATCACATGGAAACAGCATATTAACTATGTTATCAATAAAATTGCAAGGTCATGTTATGCGTTGAGAAACATAAAGCATTTTATCCCATTAGATACATTAAAGGTAATTTATTTTGCACACATTCACTCCATTTTAAGCTATGGCATAATTTTCTGGGGTAACGCTTCCTATGCCTGCAATGTCTTTAGACTACAAAAGAAGGCTATGAGAATTATTGCAAATTTTGGTCCAAGAGAATCATGTAGACATCTATTTGAGAAATTCGAAATACTGTCATTCTATTCCCAATTCATATACTCATTGATTTTATTCACGATTAATAATGATCATCTTTTTAATGCTATTACCATGATTCATGAACATAAAACCCGAACCCATAATAATCTATATTTGCCTTCTGTGAACCTGACAAAGTATAGTCAGAGTGCATATGTGGCGGGTATTAAAGCCTTCAACCATTTACCTCAAACTTTAAAAGAGTTGACTTTGGATGTACCAAATTTTAAGAGAGCACTAAAGAGATTTTTACTTCATCACTCCTTTTATTCCATGAAAGAATACTACCAACAGAAATGGGTATAATGTGTAATGTAAGAGAACACACAGATTGTGACAACAAATGAACTGATATAGAAATATGTCATAAACTACAAATTATGTAATTATCCTGTTTTATTTGTCTCTTTTTTATTGATTGTCTCTTTTATATGCATTTTAATTTGACGCACTTGATTAATGGAATGAGTAATGAATGAATGTCTTAATGGAAATTTTATTTTATTTTAGTCCATTATAAATCTTGATAAATTTCTTGATCATTGTTTAATGTGTATTATAAGTATTATAAGTTTACCTCATTTAATTGCAATATTACTGTATTATTGTATAGCTACTATGTATTCTAACTTGACTTGTTCCATATCCTATGGTGTCTCACCTGTACTGGATTTACGGAATGTAAATCAATTCAATTCAATTCAATTCATGCATGCAGGCAGTATGTGGGCACGAAAACATAACAATCACACTGTGCGTTTTCATGCACTTTCATCTATATCAACATTAATACCTTGGACGATCTCAAGGTCTATGCAACATTAATGCCATTTTTCAGAGGGTTCATACATCATTTCCTCCTCAGCTTATCATTCAGCCTCTTTCTTTCTCTCTCTCTCCTTATCCTTTTCATATTTTCATTTGAACAGTGACTCATCAAACAATCCAGAATGCAGCAGGTAGCAAGTAGAGGTCTGCTCATTATGTGCTTCATGATCATTTCTTGCCTGGCATATTCTTTGACCCTTAAGTTGGAAGTAACATGTTCGTTCAAAGCAATTGTTGATTTTCAGTGGAATGTATAGTGTTATATTCCAGAAGACAGAATTCTTTACCCTGGATCAATATTCTTCCCTTAGTATGACAGATGAAGTTTCCAACCCATACAAAACAAGTAAAACTGCAGAACAGTGTTCTGCCAAAGATTCAAACTGGATATTTCCAGCATACAAGACAAATGTTACATTTTGGGCCAGTGTGCTAGGTATGATACTCAATAATTTCATCCAGGTACAGAGTTAATCTTGAGATATGAACGTTGGTAGTGTGATACTCCTTGATAACTACTAAATTTAGTTTCATCACCCTCTTTATAAGCATGCAGAATAATACATTCATTCCACTGCTAATGAATAATAAATTTGTCTATTTCAACCACAATGCATTTTATTACTTTAAAAGGCTGTCAAGGAAGTGCCAGTAGTACAATGGCTTCAGAAAAAACACGAGTCAAATTACCAGTACTTCTGAACAAATCAAAATTTCTAATAAATTTTCCTTGTAATTTTATTAGCCATACTTCCCTCAGAACATTTACCCTAGCCTTTATACATATGCCATTTTACTAACATGCTTTATAAATACCTATTCAGTATAGAGGGGGTGGGTTTCGCCATGCACCGCGACTAATAGTCTATTGTACGTCCCCCTTTAATTTCTACTGTCGCCATACCCTACTGATACTGGTGCTCGCTATCGGCCAGCGAGGTCGGCCCTCTACTGGCAGTGGTACCCGATAATTCTCCCCTTTCTGCCAGTGAGGTCGGCCCTCTACTGGCATTGGTACCCGATAACTTCCCCATCTACCGGAGGCATTGGAAACTACTTGGGCGGGAAACATTTTGCTTAATTTGGCTGAGGTCTCCTAGAGACATGAGGATCTTTTACGTGCTGTAAATCTATGACACGGGACTCACAGCTTAAAGTCCCTCCTGGAGGACTTGTTCCCTGAATTTTTCTGCCCTTAAAAATCCATGACCTCCGCCGGGTTTGAACCCGCGTACCTTGAGTCATGAGGTGGGAACGTTACCCCTAAGACTATGGAGGCCGCTTTATACTTGATAGTCAACAGTTTATCCTTTTAGTTTAATATTACAAGTACATACTGCATTCCATTTTATGTTGACCATCCTTCTTTACATAATTATTTAAATAAGTATTCTGACATCTTATGGATACCAAATACAAAGCTATTATAGCCACTTACCTTATTAAACAAATATAGCAGCTGTAACAACCCTCAGCTCATTCTCCATCACACAACAGTACCCTATTTGCTTGAACACCTATTGTGTGTTCCTTCATTGTTTTTATATGGTTCAACCTTAACAGTATTGTCACTGTCACCATTATCTATGAGGATGAGTCAGTAAATATGTCAGAGATGGATATAAAATGTAAATCTGGAAAAAAACATTTATTTCTTGACATATCCTCCACCAATATAGACACACTTGACCCATTGCATTACCAGTGCACTGAAACCTGCAGCATAGCAGTCTTTTGGTTGTCATC